ACCTACCTGCTGACCGACTTGGGAGAGCGGCCTCGTTCTCCTCCAGTTCTGTACGTCGACAACAAGGCCGCTATTGCCTTGTGTGAGGAGCACAGACTGGAGCACAGAACGAAGCACATCGCTCTGCGTTACTTCCTTGCTCGAGAGTTGCAGCAGCGTGGTCAGCTTCGTCTTGCTTACGTGGCCACTCGGGCCAACACTGCTGATATATTCACCAAGGCACTTCCACCTGGTGATCATCAGCGTTTCTGTACTGCTTTAGGCCTTGTGCCTGCTTCGTCTCACTTGCTTACTGCGTGACTTTGCTTGTACTGTGATCTATATATATAACTACATGCTTACTCTTGCTAGGTAGTGACCTTTGTAATGTTTGCTCTCTTTTATATAACTCTATATGTGAATTGGCCTTGTGACCATTTGCTTGTGCTCAAAATGTGTGGTGACTTCGTGATCCACCTTGAGCTTGCTTTGCTTTTCTTGACTGGTCTTGTGACCACTGGTTCTCCCCCACTTTGCCTATGGGGGTGTGTCACAAATTATAGTGATGCTTGTGCTATATAGGCTATAGTGGGGTAGCCCATAAAGGGTACAACCCAAATTAGGGTTAGCACTTGTACCCACAGTTCTGCTCAATACATCATTCTCGTTCACTATTCTGACACAAGACCCCGCCTATCCTCTTAGCACCCTTGCTTTGTTTGCGACTCCAAGACACTGACATGAGCATTCGTCAGCTACTAAGAGGGTATTGCGCCATATGGTCAGTAAATCGGGCTTGAGACTTGGGCTCGGTGGACGACATCCAGTTGCGGTCAGAAGACACACTAAAGCAACGTAGGTATATAACATCGAAACTCTCAGGTCCTCTTTGGGATAATACTTCAGTCTTGGAGCCAGCGATGTCTCGTTGAGGTCCATTCGCTCGCCATCAGTGGCACAGTCGAGCTGTGAGGCAGATATCTATGTTGGTGCAACGGCTTCTCAGGAACTCTGCTGGATGGCGTTCTTGCTCACTCACTTCGGTGAGTCGCCTAGCTCTTCCCCTATCATGTTTGCTCATAATGGGGCCTATCCTCTTGTGCCCAGGAGCCTAAGCTGGATGGCAGAGCGAAGCACGTCTAGCTGTGGTAATACATGTTACGTGAGTTGCAGCAGCGTTGCCAGGCACTCGTAGTACACTTGGCCTCAGGGTCCAACACATCTATTATCTTCACCACGGTGTTTCCACCTCATCATCACCAGAAGTTCTGTACAGTGCTTGGCTTTGTCCATTACAGTGCCTCACTTGTTAGGATCTTCATCTCTGTATAATGTATTTGATTTAAGTTGTTTCTCTTCCTCTTGGCAGTGCCCCGTGCACATTTTCGTGTTTGAATGTGTATTGTTAGCTAGGGCTGCACTAGAGGTTGTGGAACATTTTATATACCCCACTTGAATGCTCTTGCTAGTCATCCATTCTTTTGAAGCACATGTTGTGATTATATGAATTGGGGTAAAAGCTCGCACACATGCGACTTATGAAAAGCGCATTAAATGTCTATTCTTAGCGGAATTGCACCTGATTTCAAGTGTCGGGTTCAGCCTTAAAACACAATTGAAAGGGCACTTTCTGGGCACCCTAGCCTCCCAAGTTCTGCCCCCAAGCCATAGACAGCCCTGGTCCACCCTCCTTACATTATTAAAGCCCTGGTAGTGACCTTCCATCAGCATCTGCTAGTGAGGTTTGTTAGTTAGACATAAAGCCTGGACGCTTGTTCGAATTTACTCTTGTTGCATTTCTACAGTGACTTGGTACCGTCACCTACTGTAAGTTGGTACGAATTGTGCTTTTACCATGGTTGTTGGTCCACACATGGGATTCTGCCCCGTTGATCCTTGAAAGTTTATATTCTCCAAAAAGCAGGATCTACAGATATACGTGCAAGTTGACCCACTAATAACAAGTTACATAATGATCTCTTCTGGTGCTTGCTCGGGGATTCAAAAGTATTCCTCGTCTGGTGCTTCCTTGGACTTGTCACTTGATGTTGTATGCTCAGGTGGGACCAGCCTGCCCGGTGACTTTTGAGTCGACTCAGAAGTCAGCACATTTGAAACACCTCAAAAGTCTTCCCCGTTAGCTCCTTCCTTGGACTTGAAGATGTATGCGCGAGAAGGGCCAGCCTGCCCGGTCCTTCCAGAGCTGCCCGTTGTGAAATTGAAGTCCTTGGGCAGCTTTGAAAGCTGCCCGAGAATGGAGGAGGCTCGCAGGCCTAAGGACGGTGCCTGCAAAGGGGAGTTGGTGCAGGGAGCAACGAGAATGTTGAAGTGCGTTGCTGAAAGACTAGTGAAAAGGAGAGAGGAATGGAAGGAAGGAAGCATGGAAGGTAGCAGGATGAACAAGAGATTGCGAGAAATAAAAGCAGGGCAACAGAATGACTAGGAGGGGTAGAGTGGAAGAGACAATGAAGAAACAGGCAGTGAGGGGGAAGGGACAGAGGGAAGAGGGCTCACAGGAATGGAATGGCCGGCACCGCTCCAGGGGGAGGCTGCAACTGGTGCAGGTGCAGTGCGGTTGAAATGACTGTAAGAGGTGTTGACTGAAGGGCGGTGTGCTTGTAAGCGGGGAGCATGTGACTGTAAAAGAGGGCTGTGTGACTGTAATGAAGGGCCGCGTGGCTGTAAGGAAGTGGATTGTGAGTGTAAGGCAGGGAGAGCGGCCCCTCTGACGACTGTGATGTTGCGGTGGGAGTGCTTCCTCCACTGCCCCAGCACCGTGTCCCTCACCTCCCTGTGATGCTGCCATAGTGGGGAGGGGAGGAAGGAGATCAAGGGAGACTTGAGTGTAAGGAGGGGGGAGTGGCCCCTCCGACAACAGTGATGTTGCAGTGGGAGTGCTGCCTCCATTGCCCCAACACCGTGTCCCACACATCCCTGTGATGCTGGCATTTAAGGGGGGGGGGGGAGGGGAGTTGAGGAGAGGGAGGAAGAGAGGATGGAGTGAGGGGGATGAGAGTGTTGTCACTGCCATTAAATTGCATCGAACCTCCTTGCAATGGGAGTGCTGCCTCCCCTGCCCCATGGGTCGTACGGCACTTGCCTGTGGTGCTGCCTCCCTGCCACCACGGGTGAGTGCTGCCCCGTGGGTCGTACGGCACCTGCCTGTGGTGCTGCGGGGGGAAGAGGAGGGTGGGGATGGAGAAAAGAGAAGTGAGGAGAGGGAGACCTGGTGGCGTTGCTATCACTGCAGCAACAATAATGTGTCCCCGGCCTCCTGCCTGCTGCCCCACTGCCTGCTGCCTCCACTGCCCCAGCACCATGTCCTGCACTTCCGTGTGGTGCTACTGTGGTGGGATGGAGGCGCAGGGAAGAGAGGAGAGCAAGGGAGAGGACTGGGAGTGCTTCTGTCAAACAATCACCTCCTTCCCGCTGCTCATATATCACTGACGCTCCCCACCCCTCCCCCCCACCCACCAACGACTCACTCACCGCCTTTCCCCCACTCACCATCTCCCCCACTCACCATCTCCCCCACTCACCATCTCCCCCACTCACCATCTCCTCTACGCGTCTCTTGGCTCGCATCTGCTCTGCCAGGTCTTGCGATGCTCTCTTGCCCTCATCACCATCACCATCACCATCACCACCACCATCACCACTGCCAACACTGTCATCGTTGTCATTGCTGCTGCCATTCTCAGCATCGTCACTCGGAGAGTCATCGTCAGCCTCCTCTCCCTCTCCTCTGCTCTTCCTCTCCGCACTCTCAGTTGATCCACATGGACAGCCATCCTGCTCCATTCCATTCCCCTCTCCAACCTTATTTGCCCCTCCTCCCCCCACCTTCTCTTTCAGCATCCTCACTTTCTTTGCCAGTAACCCCACTCCCCACCACCTGCCCCCTTCGCTTTCCCTCCCTCTCCCTTCCCACTCTCTCCACTCTTCCTCTTCCTCCCTCCCCCTTCCCTCATCCCTCCATTCCCCAACCTTTCCTCCTCCTCCTCCTCCTCTTCCTCTTCCTCCTGCTCCCTATCCCCCATCAGACCCACCCCCCTGCTCCCCCGCTCCCCCCCACCCTGGTTGCGCCTGCCCATGCGCACATGCGCCCACCCCCCTTGTACTCCGCCCATCACCGCCCCCTGCACGCGCTCATCCTCCTCCTCCTCCCACTGCCTGTGCAGCGCTGCTCGTTCCAACTCCGCATCTAATCCCTCCCCTTCCTCCTCCTCCTCCCCTTCTTCTGCCTCCTCCTCTTGCCCCTCTCCCCCCTCTTCCTCGTCTCCCTCCTCTTCCTCATCCTCGTTACAAGCATCTCCGTTACCCTCACTGTCACCCTCACCATCATCCTCTCCTAGATCCTCTATATCCATCCGGTCCCAGTTCGCATCTCGCTCCTTCGCCCTCGATTCTCCACCCTTCTTCTTCTCCTCCTCCTCATCCTGCCCTCCATCCCCCCCTCCCTCCTCCTCTCCGTCATCTTCCATAGCTGCATCGTCAATAAACATGCGCCCAGTTTCTCTCTCCTCACATGATCTCTTGCTTCCAACCCCACTCTGATCGCCAATAACCCCAGGAGCACCACCAGCAGCAGCACCAGCAGCAGGGCCAACAGCAGTATCAGCAGTGGCAGACGCAGCAGCACCAGTAGTAACAACTTCAGCAGAAGCAGCAGCAGGACCATCAACAGCACCAGCAGCAGCAGTAGCAGCAGCAGCAGCAGCAGCACCATCAGCAGCAGCAGCGCTCACACCAGCGCCCACAAGACCACCCCCACCTCCGCTATCTCCTCCACTCCCCCCCTTCCCCCCTTCCATACCCGCCCCTCCCCCACGCCCCTTGGCCCACTCACTCAGTGACTTGGGCCCCACTCCCGCTTTCTTGAGCGCCCCCACCCACCACCTCACTGCCCCCCTGCTTTCCCGCCGCTGCTCCCCCCTGCTTCGCCCCCGTTGCTCCCCCTTGCTTCTCCCCCGCTGCACCCCCCCCGCTTCCCCCCGTCTGCGACCCCCTGATTCCCCCCGTCACCGCCCCCATCTGTTTTCTGCCCTGACATCACCGCCCCTGCTTTGCCTGCCCCCTCCTCTCTTTTCTCCCCTCGCCCTGCCGCCCCCTTCACTCTCTCCCTCCGCCGCCCCTCTCCCAGCTGACACCCCCACAGCTGCCTCCCTCAAAGCACCACCACCACCACTAGTGTCCACTTCTGTCCCTGAACCTCCCACCTGCGCTTTCCCACACACCCTCTCTCGCTCGCTGCTCCCAGGCCTGCCCGTGCCTCCGCCCTCTCCCCTCGTGCCCTGCTTGTCCCCTGACTCCTTCACTGCACTGCCCCACTTCCCCTTCTCCCCCTTCTCCCCCTTATCTATCTCCTCCCTTTTCTCCCCGTTCATCCTCTCCTCCCTTGTCTCCTCATATCCCTTCATCTCGACTCCACCATGACTCACCCCCAGTGCTCCTTTCGTTCTTTCCTCATCCTTCTGCTGCATGACACACGCGCCTCCCACCTCTTCTCTCACCTCCCTGCCATCCACTTCCCCACTTCCTTTCGTTCCCTTCCCATCCATATCTTTTCCTTCTGCCCCTACTGTTGCCCCTCCTACTGTCCCTCCTACTGCCCCTCCTGCTGCCCCTCCTGCTGCCCCTCCTGCTGCCCCTCCTGCTGCCCCTCCTGCTGCCCCTCCTGCTGCCCCTCCTGCTGCCCCTCCTGCTGCCCCTCCTGCTGGCCCTCCTTCTGCAGCAGCAGCAGGAGGGGAGCATTCAAGCACGATAAGCTCATCATCCTCCTCCTCATCGCCTTCCTCCTCCTCCTCCTGTGCGAAGCGGTGCAGCATTTCAGCGATCAGACCACTCGACACAGCAGCAGCAGCAGCACTGCCTGCCTTGGGCTTCTCATCCCCACACCCAGATTTTTCCTCCTCCTCCTCTCCGTCCACGTCATCATCCTCACCGTCCACGTCATCGTCCTCGTCATCCATCTCATCTTCCTCGTCCTCCTCTTCCGCTTCTCTGTCAGGTGCATGCAGGGCGAGGGTAGGGGAATTGGGACACGTAGAACACACAACGCACACGAAGCAGTCACTTAAATTTGCACACCATGGCACACCCGAAAAGGGGTTTGAGGCTGCTCAAAGCACAGCAACAGCGGCAGACAGCAGTCAAAGTGGCAGGGATTGGAGAGTGGAGTGGGTATGGGGGAGGATTCAGTGGGCGCGGAGAAGGCAACACAGGCAGTATGCGGGCCCTTCTCCCATCACCAATTGCCACCGCCCATCACCCATTATCCATCCCATCGCGTATCCCATCACCCATCACCCATCCCCAAACCACCCATCACCCACATACGTTGCGTGCATCCATCCCCCACCCCATCCACCATCCATCCCCCACCCCATCCACCAAACATCCCCCACCCCATCCACCATCACCCACCACGGTGTGCGCATCTAGCCGCGCCATGCGCGCACAAATGGTGGAGAACAAACCACCTATCCCCATCCCACATGACTCACCGCGGCATGCGCGCATCTAGCCGCGCCATGCGCGCACACATGGTGGAGAACAAACCACCTATCCCTGCCCCCCATGACTCACCGCGGCATGCGCGCATCCAGCAGTGCCATGCGCGTCCGCATAGTAGTAAAGAAGCCGCTCAGCGAGATGGTGGCCAGGCGCGGCCGCGGCGAACTTCACACTGCTCTCTGGCGCATGGTGGAAGGCTTCCTTTCGTTCCCTTCCATCCATATCTTTTCCTTCTGCCCCTACTGTTGCCCCTCCTACTGTCCCTCCTACTGCCCCTCCTGCTGCCCCTCCTGCTACCCCCTCCTGCTGCCCCTCCTGCTGCCCCTCCTTCTTCTGCCCCTCCTGCTGCCCCTCCTACTGCCCCTCCTCTGCTGCCCCTCCTGCTGGCCCTCCTTCTGCAGCAGCAGCAGGAGGGGAGCATTCAAGCACGATAAGCTCATCATCCTCCTCCTCCTCCTCCTCCTCCTCCTCCTCCTCCTGTGCGAAGCGGTGCAGCATTTCACATCAGCGATCAGACCACTCGACACAAGCAGCAGCAGCAGCACTGCCTGCCTTGGGCTTCTCATCCCCACCACCCCAGATTTTTCCTCCTCCTCCTCTCCGTCCACGTCATCATCCTCACCGTCCACGTCATCGTCCTCGTCATCCATCTCATCTTCTTCCTCGTCCTCCTCTTCCGCTTCTCTGTCAGGTGCATGCAGGGCGAGGGTAGGGGAATTGGGACACGTAGAACACACAACGCACACGAAGCAGTCACTTAAATTTGCACACCATGGCACACACCCGAAAAGGGGTTTGAGGCTGCTCAAAGCACAGCAACAGCGGCAGACAGCAGTCAAAGTGGCAGGGATTGGAGAGTGGAGTGGGTATGGGGGAGGATTCAGTGGGCGCGGAGAAGGCAACACAAGGCAGTATGCGGGCCCTTCTCCCATCACCAATTGCCACCGCCCAGCCACCCCCATCACCCATATCCCATCGCGTATCCCATCACCCATCACCCATCCCCAACCACCCATCACCCCATACGTTGCGTGCATCCATCCCCCACCCCATCCCATCCACACCCATCCCCCACCCCATCCACCAAACATCCCCCACCCCATCCACCATCAACCACCACGGTGTGCGCATCTAGCCGCGCCATGCGCGCACAAATGGTGGAGAACAAACCACCTATCCCCATCCCACATGACTCACCGCGGCATGCGCGCATCTAGCCGCGCCATGCGCGCACACATGGTGGAGAACAAACCACCTATCCCTGCCCCCCATGACTCACCGCGGCATGCGCGCATCCAGCAGTGCCATGCGCGTCCGCATAGTAGTAAAGAAGCCGCTCAGCGAGATGGTGGCCAGGCGCGCGGCCGCGCGAACTTCACACTGCTCTCTGGCGCATGGTGGAAGGCGGACCAGGCGAGGGCGGGGCAGGGCAGGGCAGGGCAGAGCAGGAATGGCAGGGCAGGGCAGGGCAGGGCAGGGTGGGGCGGAGCAGAGCAGGCAGAGCAGGGCGGGCGGGGCGGGGCAGTGTGAGGAGGGATTGGAATGGCACGGCATGGCAGTAGCTGGAAGCGAAAGAGTGGCAGGGCATGACAAGGCGATATTGCTTCTGCGTGCATGTGCATGTGCATGTGCACGTGCACGTGCATGTGCATATGCATGTGCATGCGCATGTGCATGTGCATGCGCATCTGCATCTGCATCTGCATGTGCATGTGCATGTGCATGTGCATGTGCATGCGCATGTGCATGTGCATGTGTGTGCGTCACGGGGGCGTGATAGGCGTGTATTCACTGCACTAACCGCGAAGAAGTCGTTGCGACGTCGCCAGGAGGTCAGCTGATTCTCTGCGACGCTCGCGATCCTCCTGCGACAGAGACACGCGGAAAAATAAGCCGAAGCTACAGAGACATTTGCGGGGACAACGGGAGTGCGGGAGGGCGACGTCAGTTGCGACACGACAGCTTCGCTGTCGCCGTTAAATCGAACCAGAGATTTATTCGCCTCACCGTCTCAACATTCCCCGTCGCCGTACCTTCCGCCTCATGGCGGCTGCAGCAGCCCCTCCGCCGTCTTCCTCTGTCGTCTAGCACCTCCTCCGTCGCCGCCCCTTCACCGCCTTTTCCCACCTTTTCGCCATCTGCCGCCTTCTTTTCGCCACCTTTCCCTTCATTTCGCCATCTGTCGCCGCCTTTTCACCACCTGTCCCCGCATTTTCGCCGTCACTCGCCACGTGCTCGCCATCCGTCGCCGCCTTCTCCGCTCGCCAGCCGTCCAATCGCTCGCCAACGAATCGTCGGAATCGTCGCCCGAATCCTTCCCCGCCGATTCGCCGCTCTCCGCGCTCGCCTTCCCCACCAGCCGCCAATCCCCTCGCCTGAACCGCCGTCGCGCCGCTCAGCCGACTCACCCGCCGCGGGTTCATCCGTCGCTGCTGCTGCCACCGGTGTACCTTCTGCTGGTGCTACTCCTGCTCCTGCCGCTCCTGCCGCTGGTCCTGCCGCTTCTGCAGCATCATCATCAGGCTCCACACCGCCTGCGGCAGCATCGACGGCCGGGGAACTTCCCGCTTTCTGCTGGCGTCGACTCACAGCGCACCTCCTTCTCTGGTGAAGCGCCGTCGCCGGTGATCTCACTCGCTGTATCGCGGCGGTCGTCTGCACCGCGAGAGACTTTTGCGAAACCTCGAAGGTCGCAAACGTCGCCACGGGGCGGTCGCCAGCACCGCCGTTGGCGACGCCGTGGAGCAAGCCGTCCATCGATGGACGCGTGTCCGTCAGCGTCGCGCCGGGCATCTTTCAAAGTTTGCGGCTCGTAAACTCCTACAAGACACCCTCTCAAGGACGGTAACCTCGCGCGTGCTGTTCGCCTCGTTCTGCGAACTTCACTCCACGAACCAGGCCGCCTCGCGACAAGAGTCACGGAACTGGAGCTTATATGGTTTTGAGAAAATAAGAAAGTATTGTTCAATGACTTGGAACAGGAGAGGCTGTGAAGAAAGTGAAGGAGCGTGAGATTTGTTCTCACCGGCCGCGTCGCGCACAATTCGAATGTTTACCAGATGCGGCGCCTGCGTCTCATAAACCGAAACGGGCTGCAAGATGAGCCGCGTTTTTCGAATTGAAACGACATGAAGTCAGTTCAGGTGACAAATAAGACGACAACATGATCGGTATCTAAATATTTGCATGCCTTATTTCAATAACGACACATGATCGGGACCTAACAGCAACGATGACCCCTCGTCCAAAAACGTGCTCAAAATTCAAATGACGCGCGAACTGTAGAACCTCGAAATGGGAAACACGCCTACAAGTTTGCTTTATTTCCTGCTTACCACATTTTTGCCACCCCTGTTCGGCTTGAGAAGCACCTACCTAAACCCTCGCTGCTTGCAAACATGGCACTTGCCGTCGCAGCACCCGTGCAATCCGCGTCGCCAGCAATCTTTTCCCTCGATCGTGCGACTTCAAGCCGCGCCTCGCATGTGTCGCACGTCTCGCAAGTCGCCACAGCGTGCCCATTTCCGCGGGACGCGCGCGTTGCGGCGCACCTCGATGCCTTCGCTCTAGCCAGCGCAGCGAGACCGTCCGCACGGCAGGATTCGCACAAGCACCGCGCATGGCGTCTGCGAATCCGCGCGAGCACAGGTGACGGCAACAGAAGCGAACGGACTAATGCGCGCTGCGATCGCGATGAATGAACGGCGCGCTGCGGTCGCTGGGGTCGTCTCAGGCAGGCTTGGGCCGTCGCTCACACCGCAGGCCCTCATTAGCTCCTCCCCTTTCTGAGCATTTTTTTTTTTTAAAATATTTTCAAAATTATCCCCGTAATTCCTCTTTCTCCGACCCCTCCAAGAAAGCAGAAGTTGAGGGATTCGTAGCCAGCTTTAGTGGGGTCATTTTTTAGAGTTCTCAACAGTGGCCCTAATAAGCTCCTCCTCTTTTCTCCGACCCTGATACGCCGCACCGTCCCTCCTCGCGTTGCTCTCGTCAACTGCTTCGCTTCGCCCGTGCTTTCGTTTGTCGCATAAACCCCTCAATCTTCGTCGCACCCCTTCCTTGGTGCGTCGCAGGCGACACTGCGGCGTCGTCGTCATCGTCGCAGGACGTGCCTCAGGAAGCGAAGGATCGAGCTGCGGCAGTGGTGAGACCTTGTGTGTGGCATTGCACTTGGCAGCGGCGTGGAGTTGCGAGAATGCACAGGGCGACACTGGGACTGCCACATTCGCACGTATCCCTCCACCCACTGCTGCCGCTTGTGAAGCTTTACAGGCGTGCACGAGGTTGTTCCTCACCTGCCTCCTTCTCCACGCGGTAACTGGAGGCTGTTATCTCAGCAACCTGTGTGCCATGCTCTGCCTGCCTGTGTGTGTGTCCCTGTGCGTGTGTGTGTGTGTCTGTGCGTGTGTGTGTCTGTGCGTGTGTGTGTCTGTGCGTGTGTGTGTCCCTGTGAGTGGGCGTGGGCGAGCATGCGAGCAGGAGAAGGCGCGCTCATTGGTGGGCGATCTCAAGGGCACCAGCATCTTCCTCCCTGGTTGGTGGTGCCACGTTAGCACCTTCGTTGTGCCTCGCCATCCTCTTCTGTCGCTCTCCATATCGCGTCGCTCTAGGCAACACTTTGTCACACACACCACTCCATATGGCATGCCTCTCTCTCATGCGCGCATCACACCCATGAGTGCATGACTGTACCAACCGTACATGCGTGTCCGTACCAACCGTGCAGGCATGATGGGCAGTGGCAAGACCACAGTGGGCACACTCCTCGCTGGCCTGCTCGGCTACTGCTTCTTCGACAGGTAAAACTCCTTCAATTCCATTCCCCCCTCCCTCCCTCCCTCCCTCCCTCCCTCCCTCCCTCCCTCCCTCCCTCCTCCCTCCCTCCCTCCCTCCCTCCCTCCCTCCCTCCCTCCCTCCCTCCCTCCCTCCTCCTCCCTCCCTCATTCTTCTGCCACTCGTCCGCTACCCTTCTTCCCGTGCCTCTCATTTCCTATCTCCTTATCATCTCCTGCTCCTCCCCCATGCCTTGCGTCCTCTCCCTGCCCGCCCTGCCCTGCATCCTCCCTCCCTCCCTCCCCCGCGCCCGCCCGCCCACCCGGCAGCGACCGAGTGGTGGAGGCGGCGGCAGGCGGCGCGTCGGTGTCGCACATCTTTGCAGAGAATGGCGAGGAGGAGTTTCGACAGCTCGAGGTCGGCACAGGGGGGGTGTTGACGACAGGGGAAGGGGGACGGGTGAAGGGGAAGGGGGGAGGGGGGGGGGGGAAGGGGAGGGGGGAGGGGGAAGGGCGGAAGGGCGGAAGGGGGGAAAGGGGGAAGGGGGGAAGGGAGAGAGGGAAGAGAGAGTGGAAGGGAGAGGTGAAAAGGGAGAGAGGGGTTTCGAGTACTCGTTGCAAGTCTCTGATTCATTTGCCTCATGTCCCCGACTCATGTCATATCCTTTGCATCATTGCATGCAAGGTTCAAATTACAGTCGTATTTTTGAAATGTTACCGTTTTATACGGTTTCTTATAATAGGCTCCTGTGAGAAATCGTAGAGCAATTTCAAAAATACGGTCGTAATTTTGAACCTTCGTTACCACACGAGCCTGTGCTTGCCAGCTGCTTGCAGAAGGCAGTTTCATCAGTATGAGCAGACTGTTACTAGGGTAGCTCCCTCCGGCTTGTACCTGCACGTGCACCCCTCCGTGCTTCTCGCCAGTGTGAGCTGCTGCAGCTGCTAAGCGTCACCCGCCCGCTCTCCCTCCTTCGCCCCCGTCCGTACTTGAGTGCTGCTTAACCATAATCCACAGTCCATTCCTTCACTTACACCTTGTCTTCGCCCCGCTGCATCCCCTCCCTCCCCTCCCCTCCCCTCCCCTCCTCTTCCCCTTCCCCCCCACTCCCTCCCTCTCATCCCGTCCCCTCCTCTCCCATTCGCGTCCCTGTCCCCGATCCCCCCCCTTCCTACAGACACGAGTGTTGGGGGAGCTGTTGTCCTCGGGAAGGGGGCAAATCGTGGTGGCCACGGGAGGGGGCGCCCCGTCAACCAGCCTGTTCCATATCCACTCAAACGCCCTCTTCTCTTTCTCCTTGTCTTCCCCACTACCCCTTCCCCCCACACAGACACGCATGCTGGCGGAGCTGTCGTCCATGGGTCGCCTTGTGGTGGCCATGGAAGGGAGCGCCCTGTCAACCGGGCCGTTCTATAACGGCTTAAACGCCCCCCTCTATTCCCCACCACCCCTTCCCGCCCCTGCACAGACACGAGTGCTGGCGGAGCTGTCCTCCATGGGTCGCCTCGTGGTGGCCACGGGTGGAGGGGCAGTCACTCGCCCCGTCAACTGGTCAGTTCCGCACTGCCTCATGCGCTTACCAGGTGCTTGGCTTGCGCTTACCAGGTGCTTGGCTTGCGCCAGCTTCCTTCGTGCTGCTTAACATGCCCTGCCGTCCCGTGGTGTGGTGTGGCATGGCGTGCAGTGGAGTGGAGTGGAGTGGAGTGGAGTGGAGTGGAGTGGAGTGGATTGGAGTGGAGTCAAGTGAGTCGGAGGGGAGTGGAGCATGGGTCACATTGCACCTCCTACACTCTCTCATCATGCCTGCTCTCTGCTCATCAACCCTCTCTCTCAAACTCTCATTCAATCAATCATTCCTCTCAGGAGCCATCTCACCCTAACCCTAAACCCTAAACCTAGGGAGCACCTGGCAGTCAGGGCAGGCTCGTTATTACCTCTCTCTCACGCGGAGCACCTGGCAGAGAGGGTAGCCTCCTGGCTCCCTCTCTTATCCCTTCTCTTCGACTTGACCCACCAACCCACCGGGAGCCACCTCTCCCTCTCCCACGGGGGGTGACAGTGCACCGGGACCTGGCAGGCAGAGCAGGCACGTGGTTGCTTACCTCTCGCTCATCCAAAGTCTCTCCCCACACGATGCACTCACCAGGAGTTACCTCTCCCACGGGTGCACCTGGACGTGCCAGTGGAGCAGCTGGCAGAGGGAGTGGCCTCGTGCCTCGTGGTAGGCGCGTGACTTCCTCTCTTATCCAAACTCCTCGCCTCTTTCCCCATCGCCCCACGTAGGAGCTATCTCTCCCACGGCGTCACGGTGCATCTGGACGTGCCAGTGGAGCAGCTGGCAGAGCGGGTAGGGTTGTGGCACATGGCTTCCTCGCTCACCCCTACTCTCTCCTCTCGCTTCATGCACCTCCCAGGAGCTACCTCTCCCACGGGGTGACGGTGCATCTGGACGTGCCAGTGGAGCACCTGGCACAGCGGGTGTTGGCGGTGGGCACGGCTGTGCGCCCTCTGCTGTCGCAAGCCACACAGGGGGAGGGGGAGGGCGGAGAGCAACAAGCAGCAGATGAGAGCGATGAGCACAGCAAGGTGAGCGATGAGCACAGCAAGGTGAGCGTTCACTGCACGGCCGGGTCATGGCTACGGCATTGGCACTGGCATTGGCACCAGCATTGAAATTGCTTTGCCTGCTGCTGCGTAAGGGGATTTGGGGGGGCAAGCAGCAGGCATCGCACGAGAGCAATGATTACTGGAAATTCAGCTTTGCCCTCATGGGGCGATGGCTCTCTGGTGCTGGCGTTGTCATGGGCTCTCATGGGGCCATGCCGTTCACCTAATTGTCTGAGGTGGTGGAAACGAGGGGAGTGAGCGGCCTGCAGCAGGTGAGGGAGCAATGCAAGTTGCTGCCTACTGGATCGCTGAACAGCAATTGCCCTCTCACGTTTTCTTCCCTTTGCTCACGCGTGCTCCTTCTCTCCTCCTTTGCCATGGCGCCTCCCTCCCTGGCCGCATGCGCAGACGTTGACACGGCTGGCGGGGCTATTAGGGGAGCGCAAGGCACTCTACAGCAATGCAGACACCACCATCTCCCTGCAAGGTGCGATCTCCCTCAAACACCTCCTCCCCCTTAACCCCTGTGCAACCTCCAGTCTTCCCCAGCCGCTTGTCTTACCCTCTCACCCCTCCCCTCACCCGTCCCGCTTCACCCTCCGACCCCGCGCCATCCTTCATGCCTGACTGCCGACCATTGCTCAAGCAACATCTGCCTCCACCGCGCGCCACCCCTTGCCACCCCTTTCGTGTTGCTCTTGTGTGAACCAATCCTTGTGTGCACAACCCTTCCCCCCTGCATCTGCTCCTCATCTGCTCTGCATCCGCGCTGCACCACCCATCCCCTCTGCATTTGCTCTGCATCTGCTCCTCATCTGCTCTGCATGTGCTTCGCTTGCAGAAGTGGCGATGCGCTGCGACTCACAAGTGGACGAGGTCACACCCACACGAATCGCTCTTGAGGTCAGTCTAATTCTCTAGAGTACTATTTTCACACACACGCACTGCAGTGCTTGTGAAGAACACGGAAGGCTTTGCCTTTGGCACATTGCCTTCGAAGTCAGTTGGATGTGCACTGCTTCCCCAACTCATCTCGCGTGGTAAGGGTTCGCTTCACATGTGAGGCGTCTCAGTAGTGATGCAACCAAAGCCAGCCAGCTCATGCCGCGTTTCCCTTGATGCTGAAAATGTCTCTGAGTATCGCAAAAGTGCGAACACTCCAAAATGCGTCGCATTTTGATGAATGTGGGCTCACAAATTGCATGAAGAGTGCTTTTAGAGGGTGAGAAAGGGGAAGCAGGGGGTGTAAAACACAGGAAAAACAGTCACCCAAAGATCATTGTGGGCGTGGTTGCTGGCTGCTGCCGGTACATGTGGGTTTACAGATTCATGTCTATACCCTCGCTGTCTGCACTGTTTTCCTGCTCTGCCCTGTGCATTGCTGTCCCCATGATGTGTCCGCTGTACGCTGTCATGCGCGCATGCGGTGGTGCCCTGCCCTGCCCTGCCCTGTGCGGTGCGGCACAGATCTTGGAGCGGTTGGAGCAGATGGTGGCGGAGAGGCAGGCCAGAGACGCCGCACTCAGAGCCAAGGCAGCCTAGCGGACAATGCTGCTGCACACAGCCCTGCTCACGGCAGCCCTGTGATTGATAAGCAGCCAATTGCTCCTTAGCTGATAGATCTGTAGAGCGCACAAGCCATCAATGCCATCAAATTAGCTGCACACATTGCTGGATAATTGTATGGTTAGGCCAGTGTGTTTGCAGAAATGATTTCAGTTTGCACAAGCACTCTTCCATCTAGTAAACCGATTAGAAATTAGTCAACAGGCAGTTCAATCACGAGTCATTGCTTGCTCAGTGTGACCGCAATGGCAACACTACCATCCTCTACCACACAACCACCACCATCTCTGCACCACCTCTTCATCTCTCCCCTGCCAAGCCACCTTCACCCAGCCCCCTCTTGTCTTGGCCCCTTCGCCTTGCCCCCTCACTGCTTGCTGCATCCATACCGCTCGCTATCCCCTCACAGCTGCCTTCCGCTTTCAACCACTGCCGCATGCTCCTCATTGCATTTCTCTCCTCCCCAAATTCAACAAAATTGCCTAACAAAGTTGAGTCAGAACCTCACCCCTCCCCTCCTCAGCTGCCCTCTCCCTCCCGCCTGCTCCCTCGTTGCCTCAGCCCCGCCTCCCCGCTGCTCCCCGCACTGAAATCCCGCATCGCCACATCGCCGCCATCCTCATCCCCCTCGCTGCGCCAGTTGGGGCGCAGGGGGCCTGGCACGGGGGCGTTGTGCGCGCTCAGAGCCGCCTCTGCCTGCTCGCCCAGCTGCCGCAGCACGGAGATGATTATGGGGCCTGCCCGCGCTGCAAGAGTGATGAAGCCCGGAACCTGTATAGAGAAAGGGGGGGGGGGGGAGGGAGAGGAGGTGGTGGTGGTTTATCAGAGCCGCCTCTGCCTGCTCGCCCAGTCGCCGCAGCACGGAGATGATGATGGGGCCTGCCCGCGCTGCCAGGGTGATGAGACCCGGAACCTGTTTGGTAAGGTAAGGGTTGTGGAGGGAAGTGGTTAGGTACGGTACAGGTCTGTGGACGTGCTGTCTCTGCCTGCTTGCCCAGACGCCGCAGCACCGAGATGATGATGGGGCCTGCCCGCGCTGCCAGGGTGATGAGACCCGGAACCTGTTTGGTAAGGTAAGGGTTGTGGAGGGAAGTGGTTAGGTACGGTACGGGTCTGTGGACGTGCTCTCTCTGCCTGCTCGCCCAGACGCCGCAGCACCGAGATGATAATGGGGCCTGCCCGGGCTGCCAGGGTGATTAGGTCCGGAACCTGGTTAGAGAGAGGGTGTGGGGGGGGAGGGGGAGGTGGTGGACAGGGGTTTTCAAAGCTGCCTCTGCCTGCTCGCCCAGGTGCCGCCGCAGCACTGAAATAATTATGGGACATGCCCGGGCCACAAGGGTGAAAAGACCTGGAACCTGCAGCCGAGAGAGAGAAGAGGGGGGACAGGGAAGTGGTGGATGGGTGACTTGTAGAGGTCTTAAGAGTTCACGATTTATGGTATTATGCGCCTCCACTAATCTTCTGCCGTTCGTACGCATCAAATGACAAACCTTTAAGCACCCACCAAAGCACAAGAGCACCTTTGATTGATGAGGTTGCAACATACGCAGCAGCTATCGTGTGCTGGGATAGGACATAGCAACTCACGAAGCAATTGTCGAATATGCCTCCCAGGTCCAGCTGAGCCATGACCTCGCGCCCAGTAATGAGAGCGACGAGAGCAAGTGGGTTGAGAGAGAGGGGAAGGGATTTCAAGGAGGTGGCGTATGGTGGGAGGAGAGCAGAGGCTCACCAGGCCGTTGTCAAAGATGCCTCCCAGGTCCAGCTGAGCCATGACCTCGCGCCCCATGAAGAAGACAAACACTCCCAGCAGCAGCAGCACGGGGTTCCTGTGATAGGGGACGCCGCAGGGAGGAGCGAGGGGTGCAGGGAGAAGAAACCAGGTGGAGATGGATGAGAGGGAGGGGCGGAGCTAGGGAGGAAAAAGGAAGGAAAGGGCAAGGATGCAGGGCGGGGGGAGGGAGGGTATTGGGTGAGGAGGATAGGGACCGGGGTGTGCAAAGGACAATCAGCGATCGTGGTCACCCGGTAGGACTGTGCCTGTGCAAGTGCTTTGCATGAACTCGTTCCACCCCACCTGAGCACAGCCATGAACTCGTTCCACCCCACCTGAGCACAGCCATGAACTCGTTCCACCCCACCTGAGCACAGCCATGAACTCGTTCCACCCCACCTGAGCACAGCCATGAACTCGTTCCACCCCACCTGAGCACAGCCATGAACTCGTTCCACCCCACCTGAGCACAGCCATGAACTCGTTCCACCCCACCTGAGCACAGCCATGAACTCGTTCCACCCCACCTGAGCACAGCCATGAACTCGTTCCACCCCACCTGAGCACAGCCATGAACTCGTTCCACCCCACCTGAGCACAGCCATGAACTCGTTCCACCCCACCTGAGCACAGCCATGAACTCGTTCCACCCCACCTGAGCACAGCCATGAACTCGTTCCACCCCACCTGAGCACAGCCATGAACTCGTTCCACCCCACCTGAGCACAGCCATGAACTCGTTCCACCCCACCTGAGCACAGCCATGAACTCGTTCCACCCCACCTGAGCACAGCCATGAACTCGTTCCACCCCACCTGAGCACAGCCATGAACTCGTTCCACCCCACCTGAGCACAGCCGTGAACTCGTTCCACCCCACCTGAGCACAGCCGTGAACTCGTTCCACCCCACCTGAGCACAGCCGTGAACTCGTTCCACCCCACCTGAGCACAGCCGTGAACTCGTTCCACCCCACCTGAGCACAGCCGTGAACTCGTTCCACCCCACCTGAGCACAGCCGTGAACTCGTTCCACCCCACCTGAGCACAGCCGTGAACTCGTTCCACCCCACCTGAGCACAGCCGTGAACTCGTTCCACCCCACCTGAGCACAGCCGTGAACTCGTTCCACCCCACCTGAGCACAGCCGTGAACTCGTTCCACCCCACCTGAGCACAGCCGTGAACTCGTTCCACCCCACCTGAGCACAGCCGTGAACTCGTTCCACCCCACCTGAGCACAGCCGTGAACTCGTTCCACCCCACCTGAGCACAGCCGTGAACTCGTTCCACCCCACCTGAGCACAGCCGTGAACTCGTTCCACCCCACCTGAGCACAGCCGTGAACTCGTTCCACCCCACCTGAGCACAGCCGTGAACTCGTTCCACCCCACCTGAGCACAGCCGTGAACTCGTTCCACCCCACCTGAGCACAGCCGTGAACTCGTTCCACCCCACCTGAGCACAGCCGTGAACTCGTTCCACCCCACCTGAGCACAGCCATGAACTCGTTCCACCCCACCTGAGCACAGCCATGAACTCGTTCCACCCCACCTGAGCACAGCCATGAACTCGTTCCACCCCACCTGAGCACAGCCATGAACTCGTTCCACCCCACCTGAGCACAGCCATGAACTCGTTCCACCCCACCTGAGCACAGCCATGAACTCGTTCCACCCCACCTGAGCACAGCCATGAACTCGTTCCACCCCACCTGAGCACAGCCATGAACTCGTTCCACCCCACCTGAGCACAGCCATGAACTCGTTCCACCCCACCTGAGCACAGCCATGAACTCGTTCCACCCCACCTGAGCACAGCCATGAACTCGTTCCACCCCACCTGAGCACAGCCATGAACTCGTTCCACCCCACCTGAGCACAGCCATGAACTCGTTCCACCCCACCTGAGCACAGCCATGAACTCGTTCCACCCCACCTGAGCACAGCCATGAACTCGTTCCACCCCACCTGAGCACAGCCATGAACTCGTTCCACCCCACCTGAGCACAGCCATGAACTCGTTCCACCCCACCTGAGCACAGCCATGAACTCGTTCCACCCCACCTGAGCACAGCCATGAACTCGTTCCACCCCACCTGAGCACAGCCATGAACTCGTTCCACCCCACCTGAGCACAGCCATGAACTCGTTCCACCCCACCTGAGCACAGCCATGAACTCGTTCCACCCCACCTGAGCACAGCCATGAACTCGTTCCACCCCACCTGAGCACAGCCATGAACTCGTTCCACCCCACCTGAGCACAGCCATGAACTCGTTCCACCCCACCTGAGCACAGCCATGAACTCGTTCCACCCCACCTGAGCACAGCCATGAACTCGTTCCACCCCACCTGAGCACAGCCATGAACTCGTTCCACCCCACCTGAGCACAGCCATGAACTCGTTCCACCCCACCTGAGCACAGCCATGAACTCGTTCCACCCCACCTGAGCACAGCCATGAACTCGTTCCACCCCACCTGAGCACAGCCATGAACTCGTTCCACCCCACCTGAGCACAGCCATGAACTCGTTCCACCCCACCTGAGCACAGCCATGAACTCGTTCCACCCCACCTGAGCACAGCCATGAACTCGTTCCACCCCACCTGAGCACAGCCATGAACTCGTTCCACCCCACCTGAGCACAGCCATGAACTCGTTCCACCCCACCTGAGCACAGCCATGAACTCGTTCCACCCCACCTGAGCACAGCCATGAACTCGTTCCACCCCACCTGAGCACAGCCATGAACTCGTTCCACCCCACCTGAGCACAGCCATGAACTCGTTCCACCCCACCTGAGCACAGCCATGAACTCGTTCCACCCCACCTGAGCACAGCCATGAACTCGTTCCACCCCACCTGAGCACAGCCATGAACTCGTTCCACCCCACCTGAGCACAGCCATGAACTCGTTCCACCCCACCTGAGCACAGCCATGAACTCGTTCCACCCCACCTGAGCACAGCCATGAACTCGTTCCACCCCACCTGAGCACAGCCATGAACTCGTTCCACCCCACCTGAGCACAGCCATGAACTCGTTCCACCCCACCTGAGCACAGCCATGAACTCGTTCCACCCCACCTGAGCACAGCCATGAACTCGTTCCACCCCACCTGAGCACAGCCATGAACTCGTTCCACCCCACCTGAGCACAGCCATGAACTCGTTCCACCCCACCTGAGCACAGCCATGAACTCGTTCCACCCCACCTGAGCACAGCCATGAACTCGTTCCACCCCACCTGAGCACAGCCATGAACTCGTTCCACCCCACCTGAGCACAGCCATGAACTCGTTCCACCCCACCTGAGCACAGCCATGAACTCGTTCCACCCCACCTGAGCACAGCCATGAACTCGTTCCACCCCACCTGAGCACAGCCATGAACTCGTTCCACCCCACCTGAGCACAGCCATGAACTCGTTCCACCCCACCTGAGCACAGCCATGAACTCGTTCCACCCCACCTGAGCACAGCCATGAACTCGTTCCACCCCACCTGAGCACAGCCATGAACTCGTTCCACCCCACCTGAGCACAGCCATGAACTCGTTCCACCCCACCTGAGCACAGCCATGAACTCGTTCCACCCCACCTGAGCACAGCCATGAACTCGTTCCACCCCACCTGAGCACAGCCATGAACTCGTTCCACCCCACCTGAGCACAGCCATGAACTCGTTCCACCCCACCTGAGCACAGCCATGAACTCGTTCCACCCCACCTGAGCACAGCCATGAACTCGTTCCACCCCACCTGAGCACAGCCATGAACTCGTTCCACCCCACCTGAGCACAGCCATGAACTCGTTCCACCCCACCTGAGCACAGCCATGAACTCGTTCCACCCCACCTGAGCACAGCCATGAACTCGTTCCACCCCACCTGAGCACAGCCATGAACTCGTTCCACCCCACCTGAGCACAGCCATGAACTCGTTCCACCCCACCTGAGCACAGCCATGAACTCGTTCCACCCCACCTGAGCACAGCCATGAACTCGTTCCACCCCACCTGAGCACAGCCATGAACTCGTTCCACCCCACCTGAGCACAGCCATGAACTCGTTCCACCCCACCTGAGCACAGCCATGAACTCGTTCCACCCCACCTGAGCACAGCCATGAACTCGTTCCACCCCACCTGAGCACAGCCATGAACTCGTTCCACCCCACCTGAGCACAGCCATGAACTCGTTCCACCCCACCTGAGCACAGCCATGAACTCGTTCCACCCCACCTGAGCACAGCCATGAACTCGTTCCACCCCACCTGAGCACAGCCATGAACTCGTTCCACCCCACCTGAGCACAGCCATGAACTCGTTCCACCCCACCTGAGCACAGCCATGAACTCGTTCCACCCCACCTGAGCACAGCCATGAACTCGTTCCACCCCACCTGAGCACAGCCATGAACTCGTTCCACCCCACCTGAGCACAGCCATGAACTCGTTCCACCCCACCTGAGCACAGCCATGAACTCGTTCCACCCCACCTGAGCACAGCCATGAACTCGTTCCACCCCACCTGAGCACAGCCATGAACTCGTTCCACCCCACCTGAGCACAGCCATGAACTCGTTCCACCCCACCTGAGCACAGCCATGAACTCGTTCCACCCCACCTGAGCACAGCCATGAACTCGTTCCACCCCACCTGAGCACAGCCATGAACTCGTTCCACCCCACCTGAGCACAGCCATGAACTCGTTCCACCCCACCTGAGCACAGCCATGAACTCGTTCCACCCCACCTGAGCACAGCCATGAACTCGTTCCACCCCACCTGAGCACAGCCATGAACTCGTTCCACCCCACCTGAGCACAGCCATGAACTCGTTCCACCCCACCTGAGCACAGCCATGAACTCGTTCCACCCCACCTGAGCACAGCCATGAACTCGTTCCACCCCACCTGAGCACAGCCATGAACTCGTTCCACCCCACCTGAGCACAGCCATGAACTCGTTCCACCCCACCTGAGCACAGCCATGAACTCGTTCCACCCCACCTGAGCACAGCCATGAACTCGTTCCACCCCACCTGAGCACAGCCATGAACTCGTTCCACCCCACCTGAGCACAGCCATGAACTCGTTCCACCCCACCTGAGCACAGCCATGAACTCGTTCCACCCCACCTGAGCACAGCCATGAACTCGTTCCACCCCACCTGAGCACAGCCATGAACTCGTTCCACCCCACCTGAGCACAGCCATGAACTCGTTCCACCCCACCTGAGCACAGCCATGAACTCGTTCCACCCCACCTGAGCACAGCCATGAACTCGTTCCACCCCACCTGAGCACAGCCATGAACTCGTTCCACCCCACCTGAGCACAGCCATGAACTCGTTCCACCCCACCTGAGCACAGCCATGAACTCGTTCCACCCCACCTGAGCACAGCCATGAACTCGTTCCACCCCACCTGAGCACAGCCATGAACTCGTTCCACCCCACCTGAGCACAGCCATGAACTCGTTCCACCCCACCTGAGCACAGCCATGAACTCGTTCCACCCCACCTGAGCACAGCCATGAACTCGTTCCACCCCACCTGAGCACAGCCATGAACTCGTTCCACCCCACCTGAGCACAGCCATGAACTCGTTCCACCCCACCTGAGCACAGCCATGAACTCGTTCCACCCCACCTGAGCACAGCCATGAACTCGTTCCACCCCACCTGAGCACAGCCATGAACTCGTTCCACCCCACCTGAGCACAGCCATGAACTCGTTCCACCCCACCTGAGCACAGCCATGAACTCGTTCCACCCCACCTGAGCACAGCCATGAACTCGTTCCACCCCACCTGAGCACAGCCATGAACTCGTTCCACCCCACCTGAGCACAGCCATGAACTCGTTCCACCCCACCTGAGCACAGCCATGAACTCGTTCCACCCCACCTGAGCACAGCCATGAACTCGTTCCACCCCACCTGAGCACAGCCATGAACTCGTTCCACCCCACCTGAGCACAGCCATGAACTCGTTCCACCCCACCTGAGCACAGCCATGAACTCGTTCCACCCCACCTGAGCACAGCCATGAACTCGTTCCACCCCACCTGAGCACAGCCATGAACTCGTTCCACCCCACCTGAGCACAGCCATGAACTCGTTCCACCCCACCTGAGCACAGCCATGAACTCGTTCCACCCCACCTGAGCACAGCCATGAACTCGTTCCACCCCACCTGAGCACAGCCATGAACTCGTTCCACCCCACCTGAGCACAGCCATGAACTCGTTCCACCCCACCTGAGCACAGCCATGAACTCGTTCCACCCCACCTGAGCACAGCCATGAACTCGTTCCACCCCACCTGAGCACAGCCATGAACTCGTTCCACCCCACCTGAGCACAGCCATGAACTCGTTCCACCCCACCTGAGCACAGCCATGAACTCGTTCCACCCCACCTGAGCACAGCCATGAACTCGTTCCACCCCACCTGAGCACAGCCATGAACTCGTTCCACCCCACCTGAGCACAGCCATGAACTCGTTCCACCCCACCTGAGCACAGCCATGAACTCGTTCCACCCCACCTGAGCACAGCCATGAACTCGTTCCACCCCACCTGAGCACAGCCATGAACTCGTTCCACCCCACCTGAGCACAGCCATGAACTCGTTCCACCCCACCTGAGCACAGCCATGAACTCGTTCCACCCCACCTGAGCACAGCCATGAACTCGTTCCACCCCACCTGAGCACAGCCATGAACTCGTTCCACCCCACCTGAGCACAGCCATGAACTCGTTCCACCCCACCTGAGCACAGCCATGAACTCGTTCCACCCCACCTGAGCACAGCCATGAACTCGTTCCACCCCACCTGAGCACAGCCATGAACTCGTTCCACCCCACCTGAGCACAGCCATGAACTCGTTCCACCCCACCTGAGCACAGCCATGAACTCGTTCCACCCCACCTGAGCACAGCCATGAACTCGTTCCACCCCACCTGAGCACAGCCATGAACTCGTTCCACCCCACCTGAGCACAGCCATGAACTCGTTCCACCCCACCTGAGCACAGCCATGAACTCGTTCCACCCCACCTGAGCACAGCCATGAACTCGTTCCACCCCACCTGAGCACAGCCATGAACTCGTTCCACCCCACCTGAGCACAGCCATGAACTCGTTCCACCCCACCTGAGCACAGCCATGAACTCGTTCCACCCCACCTGAGCACAGCCATGAACTCGTTCCACCCCACCTGAGCACAGCCATGAACTCGTTCCACCCCACCTGAGCACAGCCATGAACTCGTTCCACCCCACCTGAGCACAGCCATGAACTCGTTCCACCCCACCTGAGCACAGCCATGAACTCGTTCCACCCCACCTGAGCACAGCCATGAACTCGTTCCACCCCACCTGAGCACAGCCATGAACTCGTTCCACCCCACCTGAGCACAGCCATGAACTCGTTCCACCCCACCTGAGCACAGCCATGAACTCGTTCCACCCCACCTGAGCACAGCCATGAACTCGTTCCACCCCACCTGAGCACAGCCATGAACTCGTTCCACCCCACCTGAGCACAGCCATGAACTCGTTCCACCCCACCTGAGCACAGCCATGAACTCGTTCCACCCCACCTGAGCACAGCCATGAACTCGTTCCACCCCACCTGAGCACAGCCATGAACTCGTTCCACCCCACCTGAGCACAGCCATGAACTCGTTCCACCCCACCTGAGCACAGCCATGAACTCGTTCCACCCCACCTGAGCACAGCCATGAACTCGTTCCACCCCACCTGAGCACAGCCATGAACTCGTTCCACCCCACCTGAGCACAGCCATGAACTCGTTCCACCCCACCTGAGCACAGCCATGAACTCGTTCCACCCCACCTGAGCACAGCCATGAACTCGTTCCACCCCACCTGAGCACAGCCATGAACTCGTTCCACCCCACCTGAGCACAGCCATGAACTCGTTCCACCCCACCTGAGCACAGCCATGAACTCGTTCCACCCCACCTGAGCACAGCCATGAACTCGTTCCACCCCACCTGAGCACAGCCATGAACTCGTTCCACCCCACCTGAGCACAGCCATGAACTCGTTCCACCCCACCTGAGCACAGCCATGAACTCGTTCCACCCCACCTGAGCACAGCCATGAACTCGTTCCACCCCACCTGAGCACAGCCATGAACTCGTTCCACCCCACCTGAGCACAGCCATGAACTCGTTCCACCCCACCTGAGCACAGCCATGAACTCGTTCCACCCCACCTGAGCACAGCCATGAACTCGTTCCACCCCACCTGAGCACAGCCATGAACTCGTTCCACCCCACCTGAGCACAGCCATGAACTCGTTCCACCCCACCTGAGCACAGCCATGAACTCGTTCCACCCCACCTGAGCACAGCCATGAACTCGTTCCACCCCACCTGAGCACAGCCATGAACTCGTTCCACCCCACCTGAGCACAGCCATGAACTCGTTCCACCCCACCTGAGCACAGCCATGAACTCGTTCCACCCCACCTGAGCACAGCCATGAACTCGTTCCACCCCACCTGAGCACAGCCATGAACTCGTTCCACCCCACCTGAGCACAGCCATGAACTCGTTCCACCCCACCTGAGCACAGCCATGAACTCGTTCCACCCCACCTGAGCACAGCCATGAACTCGTTCCACCCCACCTGAGCACAGCCATGAACTCGTTCCACCCCACCTGAGCACAGCCATGAACTCGTTCCACCCCACCTGAGCACAGCCATGAACTCGTTCCACCCCACCTGAGCACAGCCATGAACTCGTTCCACCCCACCTGAGCACAGCCATGAACTCGTTCCACCCCACCTGAGCACAGCCATGAACTCGTTCCACCCCACCTGAGCACAGCCATGAACTCGTTCCACCCCACCTGAGCACAGCCATGAACTCGTTCCACCCCACCTGAGCACAGCCATGAACTCGTTCCACCCCACCTGAGCACAGCCATGAACTCGTTCCACCCCACCTGAGCACAGCCATGAACTCGTTCCACCCCACCTGAGCACAGCCATGAACTCGTTCCACCCCACCTGAGCACAGCCATGAACTCGTTCCACCCCACCTGAGCACAGCCATGAACTCGTTCCACCCCACCTGAGCACAGCCATGAACTCGTTCCACCCCACCTGAGCACAGCCATGAACTCGTTCCACCCCACCTGAGCACAGCCATGAACTCGTTCCACCCCACCTGAGCACAGCCATGAACTCGTTCCACCCCACCTGAGCACAGCCATGAACTCGTTCCACCCCACCTGAGCACAGCCATGAACTCGTTCCACCCCACCTGAGCACAGCCATGAACTCGTTCCACCCCACCTGAGCACAGCCATGAACTCGTTCCACCCCACCTGAGCACAGCCATGAACTCGTTCCACCCCACCTGAGCACAGCCATGAACTCGTTCCACCCCACCTGAGCACAGCCATGAACTCGTTCCACCCCACCTGAGCACAGCCATGAACTCGTTCCACCCCACCTGAGCACAGCCATGAACTCGTTCCACCCCACCTGAGCACAGCCATGAACTCGTTCCACCCCACCTGAGCACAGCCATGAACTCGTTCCACCCCACCTGAGCACAGCCATGAACTCGTTCCACCCCACCTGAGCACAGCCATGAACTCGTTCCACCCCACCTGAGCACAGCCATGAACTCGTTCCACCCCACCTGAGCACAGCCATGAACTCGTTCCACCCCACCTGAGCACAGCCATGAACTCGTTCCACCCCACCTGAGCACAGCCATGAACTCGTTCCACCCCACCTGAGCACAGCCATGAACTCGTTCCACCCCACCTGAGCACAGCCATGAACTCGTTCCACCCCACCTGAGCACAGCCATGAACTCGTTCCACCCCACCTGAGCACAGCCATGAACTCGTTCCACCCCACCTGAGCACAGCCATGAACTCGTTCCACCCCACCTGAGCACAGCCATGAACTCGTTCCACCCCACCTGAGCACAGCCATGAACTCGTTCCACCCCACCTGAGCACAGCCATGAACTCGTTCCACCCCACCTGAGCACAGCCATGAACTCGTTCCACCCCACCTGAGCACAGCCATGAACTCGTTCCACCCCACCTGAGCACAGCCATGAACTCGTTCCACCCCACCTGAGCACAGCCATGAACTCGTTCCACCCCACCTGAGCACAGCCATGAACTCGTTCCACCCCACCTGAGCACAGCCATGAACTCGTTCCACCCCACCTGAGCACAGCCATGAACTCGTTCCACCCCACCTGAGCACAGCCATGAACTCGTTCCACCCCACCTGAGCACAGCCATGAACTCGTTCCACCCCACCTGAGCACAGCCATGAACTCGTTCCACCCCACCTGAGCACAGCCATGAACTCGTTCCACCCCACCTGAGCACAGCCATGAACTCGTTCCACCCCACCTGAGCACAGCCATGAACTCGTTCCACCCCACCTGAGCACAGCCATGAACTCGTTCCACCCCACCTGAGCACAGCCATGAACTCGTTCCACCCCACCTGAGCACAGCCATGAACTCGTTCCACCCCACCTGAGCACAGCCATGAACTCGTTCCACCCCACCTGAGCACAGCCATGAACTCGTTCCACCCCACCTGAGCACAGCCATGAACTCGTTCCACCCCACCTGAGCACAGCCATGAACTCGTTCCACCCCACCTGAGCACAGCCATGAACTCGTTCCACCCCACCTGAGCACAGCCATGAACTCGTTCCACCCCACCTGAGCACAGCCATGAACTCGTTCCACCCCACCTGAGCACAGCCATGAACTCGTTCCACCCCACCTGAGCACAGCCATGAACTCGTTCCACCCCACCTGAGCACAGCCATGAACTCGTTCCACCCCACCTGAGCACAGCCATGAACTCGTTCCACCCCACCTGAGCACAGCCATGAACTCGTTCCACCCCACCTGAGCACAGCCATGAACTCGTTCCACCCCACCTGAGCACAGCCATGAACTCGTTCCACCCCACCTGAGCACAGCCATGAACTCGTTCCACCCCACCTGAGCACAGCCATGAACTCGTTCCACCCCACCTGAGCACAGCCATGAACTCGTTCCACCCCACCTGAGCACAGCCATGAACTCGTTCCACCCCACCTGAGCACAGCCATGAACTCGTTCCACCCCACCTGAGCACAGCCATGAACTCGTTCCACCCCACCTGAGCACAGCCATGAACTCGTTCCACCCCACCTGAGCACAGCCATGAACTCGTTCCACCCCACCTGAGCACAGCCATGAACTCGTTCCACCCCACCTGAGCACAGCCATGAACTCGTTCCACCCCACCTGAGCACAGCCATGAACTCGTTCCACCCCACCTGAGCACAGCCATGAACTCGTTCCACCCCACCTGAGCACAGCCATGAACTCGTTCCACCCCACCTGAGCACAGCCATGAACTCGTTCCACCCCACCTGAGCACAGCCATGAACTCGTTCCACCCCACCTGAGCACAGCCATGAACTCGTTCCACCCCACCTGAGCACAGCCATGAACTCGTTCCACCCCACCTGAGCACAGCCATGAACTCGTTCCACCCCACCTGAGCACAGCCATGAACTCGTTCCACCCCACCTGAGCACAGCCATGAACTCGTTCCACCCCACCTGAGCACAGCCATGAACTCGTTCCACCCCACCTGAGCACAGCCATGAACTCGTTCCACCCCACCTGAGCACAGCCATGAACTCGTTCCACCCCACCTGAGCACAGCCATGAACTCGTTCCACCCCACCTGAGCACAGCCATGAACTCGTTCCACCCCACCTGAGCACAGCCATGAACTCGTTCCACCCCACCTGAGCACAGCCATGAACTCGTTCCACCCCACCTGAGCACAGCCATGAACTCGTTCCACCCCACCTGAGCACAGCCATGAACTCGTTCCACCCCACCTGAGCACAGCCATGAACTCGTTCCACCCCACCTGAGCACAGCCATGAACTCGTTCCACCCCACCTGAGCACAGCCATGAACTCGTTCCACCCCACCTGAGCACAGCCATGAACTCGTTCCACCCCACCTGAGCACAGCCATGAACTCGTTCCACCCCACCTGAGCACAGCCATGAACTCGTTCCACCCCACCTGAGCACAGCCATGAACTCGTTCCACCCCACCTGAGCACAGCCATGAACTCGTTCCACCCCACCTGAGCACAGCCATGAACTCGTTCCACCCCACCTGAGCACAGCCATGAACTCGTTCCACCCCACCTGAGCACAGCCATGAACTCGTTCCACCCCACCTGAGCACAGCCATGAACTCGTTCCACCCCACCTGAGCACAGCCATGAACTCGTTCCACCCCACCTGAGCACAGCCATGAACTCGTTCCACCCCACCTGAGCACAGCCATGAACTCGTTCCACCCCACCTGAGCACAGCCATGAACTCGTTCCACCCCACCTGAGCACAGCCATGAACTCGTTCCACCCCACCTGAGCACAGCCATGAACTCGTTCCACCCCACCTGAGCACAGCCATGAACTCGTTCCACCCCACCTGAGCACAGCCATGAACTCGTTCCACCCCACCTGAGCACAGCCATGAACTCGTTCCACCCCACCTGAGCACAGCCATGAACTCGTTCCACCCCACCTGAGCACAGCCATGAACTCGTTCCACCCCACCTGAGCACAGCCATGAACTCGTTCCACCCCACCTGAGCACAGCCATGAACTCGTTCCACCCCACCTGAGCACAGCCATGAACTCGTTCCACCCCACCTGAGCACAGCCATGAACTCGTTCCACCCCACCTGAGCACAGCCATGAACTCGTTCCACCCCACCTGAGCACAGCCATGAACTCGTTCCACCCCACCTGAGCACAGCCATGAACTCGTTCCACCCCACCTGAGCACAGCCATGAACTCGTTCCACCCCACCTGAGCACAGCCATGAACTCGTTCCACCCCACCTGAGCACAGCCATGAACTCGTTCCACCCCACCTGAGCACAGCCATGAACTCGTTCCACCCCACCTGAGCACAGCCATGAACTCGTTCCACCCCACCTGAGCACAGCCATGAACTCGTTCCACCCCACCTGAGCACAGCCATGAACTCGTTCCACCCCACCTGAGCACAGCCATGAACTCGTTCCACCCCACCTGAGCACAGCCATGAACTCGTTCCACCCCACCTGAGCACAGCCATGAACTCGTTCCACCCCACCTGAGCACAGCCATGAACTCGTTCCACCCCACCTGAGCACAGCCATGAACTCGTTCCACCCCACCTGAGCACAGCCATGAACTCGTTCCACCCCACCTGAGCACAGCCATGAACTCGTTCCACCCCACCTGAGCACAGCCATGAACTCGTTCCACCCCACCTGAGCACAGCCATGAACTCGTTCCACCCCACCTGAGCACAGCCATGAACTCGTTCCACCCCACCTGAGCACAGCCATGAACTCGTTCCACCCCACCTGAGCACAGCCATGAACTCGTTCCACCCCACCTGAGCACAGCCATGAACTCGTTCCACCCCACCTGAGCACAGCCATGAACTCGTTCCACCCCACCTGAGCACAGCCATGAACTCGTTCCACCCCACCTGAGCACAGCCATGAACTCGTTCCACCCCACCTGAGCACAGCCATGAACTCGTTCCACCCCACCTGAGCACAGCCATGAACTCGTTCCACCCCACCTGAGCACAGCCATGAACTCGTTCCACCCCACCTGAGCACAGCCATGAACTCGTTCCACCCCACCTGAGCACAGCCATGAACTCGTTCCACCCCACCTGAGCACAGCCATGAACTCGTTCCACCCCACCTGAGCACAGCCATGAACTCGTTCCACCCCACCTGAGCACAGCCATGAACTCGTTCCACCCCACCTGAGCACAGCCATGAACTCGTTCCACCCCACCTGAGCACAGCCATGAACTCGTTCCACCCCACCTGAGCACAGCCATGAACTCGTTCCACCCCACCTGAGCACAGCCATGAACTCGTTCCACCCCACCTGAGCACAGCCATGAACTCGTTCCACCCCACCTGAGCACAGCCATGAACTCGTTCCACCCCACCTGAGCACAGCCATGAACTCGTTCCACCCCACCTGAGCACAGCCATGAACTCGTTCCACCCCACCTGAGCACAGCCATGAACTCGTTCCACCCCACCTGAGCACAGCCATGAACTCGTTCCACCCCACCTGAGCACAGCCATGAACTCGTTCCACCCCACCTGAGCACAGCCATGAACTCGTTCCACCCCACCTGAGCACAGCCATGAACTCGTTCCACCCCACCTGAGCACAGCCATGAACTCGTTCCACCCCACCTGAGCACAGCCATGAACTCGTTCCACCCCACCTGAGCACAGCCATGAACTCGTTCCACCCCACCTGAGCACAGCCATGAACTCGTTCCACCCCACCTGAGCACAGCCATGAACTCGTTCCACCCCACCTGAGCACAGCCATGAACTCGTTCCACCCCACCTGAGCACAGCCATGAACTCGTTCCACCCCACCTGAGCACAGCCATGAACTCGTTCCACCCCACCTGAGCACAGCCATGAACTCGTTCCACCCCACCTGAGCACAGCCATGAACTCGTTCCACCCCACCTGAGCACAGCCATGAACTCGTTCCACCCCACCTGAGCACAGCCATGAACTCGTTCCACCCCACCTGAGCACAGCCATGAACTCGTTCCACCCCACCTGAGCACAGCCATGAACTCGTTCCACCCCACCTGAGCACAGCCATGAACTCGTTCCACCCCACCTGAGCACAGCCATGAACTCGTTCCACCCCACCTGAGCACAGCCATGAACTCGTTCCACCCCACCTGAGCACAGCCATGAACTCGTTCCACCCCACCTGAGCACAGCCATGAACTCGTTCCACCCCACCTGAGCACAGCCATGAACTCGTTCCACCCCACCTGAGCACAGCCATGAACTCGTTCCACCCCACCTGAGCACAGCCATGAACTCGTTCCACCCCACCTGAGCACAGCCATGAACTCGTTCCACCCCACCTGAGCACAGCCATGAACTCGTTCCACCCCACCTGAGCACAGCCATGAACTCGTTCCACCCCACCTGAGCACAGCCATGAACTCGTTCCACCCCACCTGAGCACAGCCATGAACTCGTTCCACCCCACCTGAGCACAGCCATGAACTCGTTCCACCCCACCTGAGCACAGCCATGAACTCGTTCCACCCCACCTGAGCACAGCCATGAACTCGTTCCACCCCACCTGAGCACAGCCATGAACTCGTTCCACCCCACCTGAGCACAGCCATGAACTCGTTCCACCCCACCTGAGCACAGCCATGAACTCGTTCCACCCCACCTGAGCACAGCCATGAACTCGTTCCACCCCACCTGAGCACAGCCATGAACTCGTTCCACCCCACCTGAGCACAGCCATGAACTCGTTCCACCCCACCTGAGCACAGCCATGAACTCGTTCCACCCCACCTGAGCACAGCCATGAACTCGTTCCACCCCACCTGAGCACAGCCATGAACTCGTTCCACCCCACCTGAGCACAGCCATGAACTCGTTCCACCCCACCTGAGCACAGCCATGAACTCGTTCCACCCCACCTGAGCACAGCCATGAACTCGTTCCACCCCACCTGAGCACAGCCATGAACTCGTTCCACCCCACCTGAGCACAGCCATGAACTCGTTCCACCCCACCTGAGCACAGCCATGAACTCGTTCCACCCCACCTGAGCACAGCCATGAACTCGTTCCACCCCACCTGAGCACAGCCATGAACTCGTTCCACCCCACCTGAGCACAGCCATGAACTCGTTCCACCCCACCTGAGCACAGCCATGAACTCGTTCCACCCCACCTGAGCACAGCCATGAACTCGTTCCACCCCACCTGAGCACAGCCATGAACTCGTTCCACCCCACCTGAGCACAGCCATGAACTCGTTCCACCCCACCTGAGCACAGCCATGAACTCGTTCCACCCCACCTGAGCACAGCCATGAACTCGTTCCACCCCACCTGAGCACAGCCATGAACTCGTTCCACCCCACCTGAGCACAGCCATGAACTCGTTCCACCCCACCTGAGCACAGCCATGAACTCGTTCCACCCCACCTGAGCACAGCCATGAACTCGTTCCACCCCACCTGAGCACAGCCATGAACTCGTTCCACCCCACCTGAGCACAGCCATGAACTCGTTCCACCCCACCTGAGCACAGCCATGAACTCGTTCCACCCCACCTGAGCACAGCCATGAACTCGTTCCACCCCACCTGAGCACAGCCATGAACTCGTTCCACCCCACCTGAGCACAGCCATGAACTCGTTCCACCCCACCTGAGCACAGCCATGAACTCGTTCCACCCCACCTGAGCACAGCCATGAACTCGTTCCACCCCACCTGAGCACAGCCATGAACTCGTTCCACCCCACCTGAGCACAGCCATGAACTCGTTCCACCCCACCTGAGCACAGCCATGAACTCGTTCCACCCCACCTGAGCACAGCCATGAACTCGTTCCACCCCACCTGAGCACAGCCATGAACTCGTTCCACCCCACCTGAGCACAGCCATGAACTCGTTCCACCCCACCTGAGCACAGCCATGAACTCGTTCCACCCCACCTGAGCACAGCCATGAACTCGTTCCACCCCACCTGAGCACAGCCATGAACTCGTTCCACCCCACCTGAGCACAGCCATGAACTCGTTCCACCCCACCTGAGCACAGCCATGAACTCGTTCCACCCCACCTGAGCACAGCCATGAACTCGTTCCACCCCACCTGAGCACAGCCATGAACTCGTTCCACCCCACCTGAGCACAGCCATGAACTCGTTCCACCCCACCTGAGCACAGCCATGAACTCGTTCCACCCCACCTGAGCACAGCCATGAACTCGTTCCACCCCACCTGAGCACAGCCATGAACTCGTTCCACCCCACCTGGCACAGCCATGAACTCGTTCCACCCCACCTGGGCACAGCCATGAACTCGTTCCACCCCACCTGAGCACAGCCATGAACTCGTTCCACCCCACCTGAGCACAGCCATGAACTCGTTCCACCCCACCTGAGCACAGCCATGAACTCGTTCCACCCCACCTGAGCACAGCCATGAACTCGTTCCACCCCACCTGAGCACAGCCATGAACTCGTTCCACCCCACCTGAGCACAGCCATGAACTCGTTCCACCCCACCTGAGCACAGCCATGAACTCGTTCCACCCCACCTGAGCACAGCCATGAACTCGTTCCACCCCACCTGAGCACAGCCATGAACTCGTTCCACCCCACCTGAGCACAGCCATGAACTCGTTCCACCCCACCTGAGCACAGCCATGAACTCGTTCCACCCCACCTGAGCACAGCCATGAACTCGTTCCACCCCACCTGAGCACAGCCATGAACTCGTTCCACCCCACCTGAGCACAGCCATGAACTCGTTCCACCCCACCTGAGCACAGCCATGAACTCGTTCCACCCCACCTGAGCACAGCCATGAACTCGTTCCACCCCACCTGAGCACAGCCATGAACTCGTTCCACCCCACCTGAGCACAGCCATGAACTCGTTCCACCCCACCTGAGCACAGCCATGAACTCGTTCCACCCCACCTGAGCACAGCCATGAACTCGTTCCACCCCACCTGAGCACAGCCATGAACTCGTTCCACCCCACCTGAGCACAGCCATGAACTCGTTCCACCCCACCTGAGCACAGCCATGAACTCGTTCCACCCCACCTGAGCACAGCCATGAACTCGTTCCACCCCACCTGAGCACAGCCATGAACTCGTTCCACCCCACCTGAGCACAGCCATGAACTCGTTCCACCCCACCTGAGCACAGCCATGAACTCGTTCCACCCCACCTGAGCACAGCCATGAACTCGTTCCACCCCACCTGAGCACAGCCATGAACTCGTTCCACCCCACCTGAGCACAGCCATGAACTCGTTCCACCCCACCTGAGCACAGCCATGAACTCGTTCCACCCCACCTGAGCACAGCCATGAACTCGTTCCACCCCACCTGAGCACAGCCATGAACTCGTTCCACCCCACCTGAGCACAGCCATGAACTCGTTCCACCCCACCTGAGCACAGCCATGAACTCGTTCCACCCCACCTGAGCACAGCCATGAACTCGTTCCACCCCACCTGAGCACAGCCATGAACTCGTTCCACCCCACCTGAGCACAGCCATGAACTCGTTCCACCCCACCTGAGCACAGCCATGAACTCGTTCCACCCCACCTGAGCACAGCCATGAACTCGTTCCACCCCACCTGAGCACAGCCATGAACTCGTTCCACCCCACCTGAGCACAGCCATGAACTCGTTCCACCCCACCTGAGCACAGCCATGAACTCGTTCCACCCCACCTGAGCACAGCCATGAACTCGTTCCACCCCACCTGAGCACAGCCATGAACTCGTTCCACCCCACCTGAGCACAGCCATGAACTCGTTCCACCCCACCTGAGCACAGCCATGAACTCGTTCCACCCCACCTGAGCACAGCCATGAACTCGTTCCACCCCACCTGAGCACAGCCATGAACTCGTTCCACCCCACCTGAGCACAGCCATGAACTCGTTCCACCCCACCTGAGCACAGCCATGAACTCGTTCCACCCCACCTGAGCACAGCCATGAACTCGTTCCACCCCACCTGAGCACAGCCATGAACTCGTTCCACCCCACCTGAGCACAGCCATGAACTCGTTCCACCCCACCTGAGCACAGCCATGAACTCGTTCCACCCCACCTGAGCACAGCCATGAACTCGTTCCACCCCACCTGAGCACAGCCATGAACTCGTTCCACCCCACCTGAGCACAGCCATGAACTCGTTCCACCCCACCTGAGCACAGCCATGAACTCGTTCCACCCCACCTGAGCACAGCCATGAACTCGTTCCACCCCACCTGAGCACAGCCATGAACTCGTTCCACCCCAGCACCACCATGGCTACAATGGCCCACGGCGGGGGCAGCCATGCGTTGTTGCGCCGACTCGCCTCCTGCAAGGGGTGGGACACGGGAAAGGCAGGAGGAGTGACAAGGAGAAACATCAACAATTGGTGAAGTGGGTGAAGCACAGTTTGATGCACGCACTGATTATGATCTTGCCTCTCGTGGAACAGAAGTACACCCAAACCCCTCTAACACCACAACCCCTCTAGTATTGTTTCTACTCCTCGCCTCGCAACGCACCTGCATCTGCATGGCCTGCTCTGCTCACCTGTGTCTGCATGGCCTGCGCCACCACGCATTGTACCCCATGAACCAACTTCACCACCCCTCGTGTCACATCATACGTGAGACTGCATGGCCTGCTCACCTGAGTCTGCATGGCCTGCGCCACCACGTATTGTGTCTCCGCCTTGAACTTGCCCCACAGCGCCCGGCACTGCCCTGGCGTCAGGAACGTGCACTCTGGGGCGATCTGAAGGAGGGGGGAGGGGTGAGACGCAAGGTGTGAGGAACGGAGGCGATCTGGACAAGGGAGAGGGGGTTGAGCGGTTGGCAGGAACGGTGGGGTACTGCAGCAGTGGAGAGCAGCGGGAGGACAACGAGTGTGCGTTGTGAGGAGACTGGTTAGATTCCCTGTGGTAGAGAAACACCTACAAGAATGAAGATGCAACGTGAGAGTAAAGGGGAGGATAGTGAAGCTTCCAAGGAATGAGCAGCGCAACCCAACAACCTCATCCTCACTACCATGCTCAAATCTTCTCTCCCGCGTTCCCAAAACCAAGCCCTCAGAACCCGCCGCCCCTGTAACTCCATCACCCATCCTCCCACACACCTTGTCCCACTTGCTAGCAGCCAGCAGCCCTGCCGATGTGAACACCCGCTGCACTCGCCTGCTCCCCCCTTTCCCCTCTCCTCCCACTTCCCCTTCCCCCTCCTCCTCTACTTCCCCCTCCCCCTCCCCCGACTCCCCGTCCTGGGTGCGTGACGAGTCGCCGCCCTCCCCAGGTGCGCCCTCCCCCAGAAGAGACAAGAGTGTGGGCTCGATGGAGTCGTCCACCGTGTCCAGACGCATGGCCGCCACCACTGCTAGCAGCCTCAGCGCCTGATGGGGGGAAAGGGTGGGGAGGGGATGGGGGAGGGGAGGGGGAGGGGTGGGGGGGAAGGGGGGGAACAGATAGCGGATGGAGAGACAAGAGCGTGGGCTCGATGGAGTTGTCCATGGTGTCCAGGCGCATTGCTGCCACCACTGCCAGCCTTAGTGTTTGGGGGGGGAAGGGTGGGGGGGAGGGGAAGGGGGAAGAGTGGTCGAGGGTAAAGAGGGAAGGGATGTCAGGGAAGAGGTAAGAGGAAGAAGAGAGAGGAAAGAGGAGTGGGGAAGAGGAGGAAAGGGGGAAAAAGGAAAGGAAAGGAAAGGAGGGAGGGAAAAGGGGAGGGAAGATGTGCGGAGGTGGTTGAAGGCTGTTGGGCAAGCGCAAATGAGGGTACAGGGTATTGGCAGTTCAGAACCACCTTCCCCCCCCTCACCACCTCCCCCCCCCCTTTCACCACCTCCCCCCCCCCTCACCACCTCCCCCCCCCTCACAGCCTCCCCTCCCCCCCCCCCCCCACCACCTTCCCCCCCCCTCACCACCTCCCTCCCCTCACAGCCTCCCTCCTTCTCCCTTGCTACACTCCCTGTGTGCCTCACCGCCTTGCGTGCGTCGAAGGCGATGGCTTTGATGTCGTCCCCCTCCGTCCACTTGCGTGGCAGACCCTGATCGTCCTGCGAGAACACTGCGAAGAACCTGCGCATTGCAACGACAGGAAGAGGAATGAAGAGCGGTGCCGAGTGGTGCAGTGTAATTAATTTAGGTGCCATTGTAACGTGTTGTGCGGCAAGCCCTGGTCGTCCTGAGTGAACACTGCGGCGAACCTGTGGATTCCAATGGCAGGGGGAGGAGTGAAGTGCAAAAGGGTGGTCTGGTGTGAATTCAAGGAGCCTACAACAAAGCACACTATAGCGCGGCAGACCCACGTTGTCCTGAAAAAACACGCCAAGGACCTATACATTGCATGGGCAGCACTGAGAGGAATGACGATCGGTGCAGAGCGGTGGAGGACGAGTTGAAAGGCCAATGTGGATAGATGACATGTGTCCTGTCCTGAAGAAGGGAAGCAAAGAGTGTCTTTTCCACACACACATAATGCTTCACAGGATTCAGTAACCAGTCTTTTCCACACACACATAATGCTTCACAGGATTCAGTAACCACCTTCATCACATCATATCAGTCCACTCTGCCGCACCCTCTCCTCCCCAATTCTCACAAGCAGCCATTCCCTCAGAATCCTTACTCCACTCCACTCCACTCCACTCCACTCCAGGAGAAACAGCACAAGCTCGCTCTCCCACCACACAAGCAGCTCCTCGATCCGCATACTCAAAAGTCCTCTCACAATCAATCAACCCCACTTTCGAGTCCCAAACAACCAAACCCAACTCCACTTCCCCATCAACTCGCACCTGTCTTTCATGAGCGACAGGGCGTGCTGCCTCTCCCGCTTCACGCGCTCCTCCACCACCTTCCGTTAGCTTTGTTAATGTTTTTGTGTCGACACTTCTAAACCTCGTCTTCATTACCCCACCCACCCGCCCCCCCCTTCTGTGCCACCTTCCTCCCCCTACGCGCACCTGTCTTTCATGAGCGACAGGGCATGCTGGCTCTCCCGTCTCACGCGCTCCTCCACCACCTTGCGCCCCGCCGCCTCCACCGTTGCCTTGAGCCGCGCCTGCTCGTCATCCCCCAGCTGGAACCCCGCCACCGCCTGCTCCACGTCGCTGCAGGCGGCGTCCAGCTGGTGGAAAAACACAGCCCTGATGTCCCGCCACGTGTTGTCCGTCACTGCCTCTAGCAGCGCTGCTATGGGCTCTGAAATCGCCTCTGACAGGGATGCCTGGGGGAAAACAAGAGATAGAAGAGGGGGAAGCGGAGGCAAGAGGTTGTTAAGCGCGGTTGAGAGCACTTTTCTCAGCTCAGCCAGTGCTACGCGGTTCCTGCTCCACGTCGCTGCATGCGGCGTCCAGCTGGTGGAAAAACACAGCCCTGATGTCCCGCCACGTGTTGTCCGTGACTGCCTCTAGCAGCGCTGCTATGGGCTCTGATATCGCCTCTGACAGGGATGCCTGAAAGGGGGAGGAAGACGTACGAGAGGGGGTTATTGAGTGGTAGGAGAGGGGTTCTTGGGTGCACTTATTCCAGCTCAGCCACAGCAACGCTGTTAACTGTATCCTGGCAATGGATCAACAAGATTCCACCCTGTAAACATCTACGTTAAAAAAAAGAAATAAAATAAAATGAAACACATAACCGCTCTACAATCATGAGAAGCACCACGCACCTCGGCATCTGCAGCGCTCACAAGCACGCACCTCTGCATCTGCAACGCTCACACGCACGCACCTCTGCATCTGCAACGCTCACACGCACGCACCTCTGCATCTGCAACGCTCACACGCACGCACCTCTGCATCTGCAACGCTCACACGCACGCACCTCTGCATCTGCAACGCTCACACGCACGCACCTCTGCATCTGCAACGCTCACACGCACGCACCTCTGCATCTGCAACGCTCACACGCACGCACCTCTGCATCTGCAACGCTCACACGCACGCACCTCTGCATCTGCAACGCTCACACGCACACACCTCTGCATCTGTGACGATTTGTTTAAGCTTCTGCGATCGCAGCGACGCCACGTGGGATTCCATGTCAGCCATAAGCTTCGCCCTCACTTCCTCCACCGACCAATTGAACAGCGCCACGTCAGCATCTGGAATCATTGGGCAGGCAGAGACAGAATGTATGTCATGGTGAGCACAAGAGCCACCAGCAGAATGTTCGTCTGGCCTGGTTGTGGTGGTCGCCTACCTCAGCAGCCACATGAGCAACTGGAGGAGCCAGACAAATTGGCTGCAAGCGTGGCATGTGCACGCAGGCAGGAGGAGCAGCAGCAGTGGCAGTGCAGCAGTGCAAGGTAGCGCCACTTAACTATGACTACATAGCACCACGCCACCACTCACACTCAACGTCAGACTCAAAGGAAAGTGCAAAGCCTGCAGAAGAGGCGGCAGCAGAGGCAAGAGGAGCAGTGGCACGGCAAGGTAGCACCCTGTTTCCACAGCACGGCACCACACCAACTACCCTCAACGCCACTCACCCTCAACGCCACTCACCCTCAACGTCGGACTCAAAAGAAAGTGTGGCGGCCTGTAGGCAGGCGGCAGCAGAATGAGCGAAGGAAGCCGCGCTGCCCTCGCGGCCCCCTGTGGCATCGTCCAGGTCCCTCTTGAACGAGTCGAGGCAGCGCGCTGCTGCTGCAGCCACCACTGCCGTGTGCACCGGGCGGATGAGCTGAAGGGGGAGGAGGAGGGGAAAGGAGCGGGTGAGGGGATGAAGAAAGAAGGAAGGGATAGAGCATGGGGAAGACATGTGCGAGGAGGACTAAGGGGGAGCATGCAGCAGACAGGATGCAGGGTAACACAGCACAGCACAGCACAGCAGACATGAAAAGGCCGTGGATAACATCAAGAGTTGCATTGGTAAGAACGAGGATAAGATAAGGGGAGGCGGAACACAATCAAGTATTGAGTTAACCCAAAAGACGGGAACTCAATCAAGTAGGTTCAAGGAGCCCACGGGGAATCAGATAAACCATCTCACTTCCCTCTTCCCCCACTCACGGCGCTCATGCCTTTGAGCAGGAACTGGCACTTGCTGTCCCTCACACACACAGGAGCAGGACCCAGACACACATGGGAAAATTAGCCCCTCTTTCCCCCCCACCCCCTTCCCTCGTCCCCCACTCACGGCGCTCATGCCTTTGAGCAGGAACTGACGCTTGCTGTCCCTCACGCCCTCCTCAAAGTATGCCGCCTCCGCATCGTATCTGCCAGGCAAAGTAGGGAAGGCATGCAGGAGCAGCAGCCGAAATGAGTCACCACAGGGGAAGAGGGATTGGGGAAGGAGTATACAGGGATCACGCCCATCACGCCCTCCTTGCAGTTTGCCGTCTCAACTCAACTGAGAGGAAGTGCGGGGGACGCAGTGCGGGGGATGCAGTGCGGGGGAGGCAGTGCGGGGGAGGCAGTGCGGGGGAGGCAGTGTGGGGAGTGTGGGGAGGTGTGGGGAGGCTGTGTGGGGAGGCTGTGTGGGGAGGCTGTGTGGGGAGGCAGTGTGGGGAGGCAGTGTGGGGAGGCAGTGTGGGGAGGCAGTGTGGGGAGGCAGTGTGGGGAGGCAGTGTGGGGAGGCAGTGTGGGGAGGCAGTGTGGGGAGGCAGTGTGGGGAGGCAGTGTGGGGAGGCAGTGTGGGGAGGCTGTGTGGGGAGGCTGTGTGGGGAGGCTGTGTGGGGAGGCTGTGTGGGGAGGCTGTGTGGGGAGGCTGTGTGGGGAGGTGTGGGGAGGCTGTGTGGGGAGGCTGTGCGGGGAGGCTGTGCGGGGAGGCTGTGCGGGGAGGCTGTGCGGGGAGGCTGTGTGGGGAGGCTGTGTGGGGAGGCTGTGTGGGGAGGCTGTGTGGGGAGGCTGTGTGGGGAGGCTGTGTGGGGAGGCTGTGTGGGGAGGCTGTGTGGGGAGGCTGTGTGGGGAGGCTGTGTGGGGAGGCTGTGTGGGGAGGCTGTGTGGGGAGGCTGTGTGGGGAGGCTGTGTGGGGAGGCTGTGTGGGGAGGCTGTGTGGGGAGGCTGTGTGGGGAGGCTGTGTGGGGAGGCTGTGTGGGGAGGCTGTGTGGGGAGGCTGTGTGGGGAGGCTGTGTGGGGAGGCTGTGTGGGGAGGCTGTGTGGGGAGGCTGTGTGGGGAGGCTGTGTGGGGAGGCTGTGTGGGGAGGCTGTGTGGGGAGGCTGTGTGGGGAGGCTGTGTGGGGAGGCTGTGTGGGGAGGCTGTGTGGGGAGGCTGTGTGGGGAGGCTGTGTGGGGAGGCTGTGTGGGGAGGCTGTGTGGGGAGGCTGTGTGGGGAGGCTGTGTGGGGAGGCTGTGTGGGGAGGCTGTGTGGGGAGGCTGTGTGGGGAGGCTGTGTGGGGAGGCTGTGTGGGGAGGCTGTGTGGGGAGGCTGTGTGGGGAGGCTGTGTGGGGAGGCTGTGTGGGGAGGCTGTGTGGGGAGGCAGTGTGGGGAGGCAGTGTGGGGAGGCTGTGTGGGGAGGCTGTGTGGGGAGGCTGTGTGGGGAGGCTGTGTGGGGAGGCTGTGTGGGGAGGCTGTGTGGGGAGGCTGTGTGGGGAGGCAGTGTGGGGAGGCAGTGTGGGGAGGCTGTGTGGGGAGGCTGTGTGGGGAGGCTGTGTGGGGAGGCTGTGTGGGGAGGCTGTGTGGGGAGGCTGTGTGGGGAGGCTGTGTGGGGAGGCTGTGTGGGGAGGCTGTGTGGGGAGGCTGTGTGGGGAGGCTGTGTGGGGAGGCTGTGTGGGGAGGCTGTGTGGGGAGGCTGTGTGGGGAGGCTGTGTGGGGAGGCTGTGTGGGGAGGCTGTGTGGGGAGGCTGTGTGGGGAGGCTGTGTGGGGAGGCTGTGTGGGGAGGCTGTGTGGGGAGGCTGTGTGGGGAGGCTGTGTGGGGAGGCTGTGTGGGGAGGCTGTGTGGGGAGGCTGTGTGGGGAGGCTGTGTGGGGAGGCTGTGTGGGGAGGCTGTGTGGGGAGGCTGTGTGGGGAGGCTGTGTGGGGAGGCTGTGTGGGGAGGCTGTGTGGGGAGGCTGTGTGGGGAGGCTGTGTGGGGAGGCTGTGTGGGGAGGCTGTGTGGGGAGGCTGTGTGGGGAGGCTGTGTGGGGAGGCTGTGTGGGGAGGCTGTGTGGGGAGGCTGTGTGGGGAGGCTGTGTGGGGAGGCTGTGTGGGGAGGCTGTGTGGGGAGGCTGTGTGGGAAGGCTGTGTGGGGAGGCTGTGTGGGGAGGCTGTGTGGGGAGGCTGTGTGGGGAGGCTGTGTGGGGAGGCTGTGTGGGGAGGCTGTGTGGGGAGGCTGTGTGGGGAGGCAGTGTGGGGAGGCTGTGTGGGGAGGCTGTGTGGGGAGGCTGTGTGGGGAGGCTGTGTGGGGAGGCTGTGTGGGGAGGCTGTGTGGGGAGGCTGTGTGGGGAGGCTGTGTGGGGAGGCTGTGTGGGGAGGCTGTGTGGGGAGGCTGTGTGGGGAGGCTGTGTGGGGAGGCTGTGTGGGGAGGCTGTGTGGGGAGGCTGTGTGGGGAGGCTGTGTGGGGAGGCTGTGTGGGGAGGCTGTGTGGGGAGGCTGTGTGGGGAGGCTGTGTGGGGAGGCTGTGTGGGGAGGCTGTGTGGGGAGGCTGTGTGGGGAGGCAACGAGAAAAAGGTTAACAGGGGGCATGCCCCAACTCTTGCTTCCAGCCACTTCCATGCCATACCAAGCATGCCATGCCATGTCAAGCCACGCACGCCACAAGGAGTCACGCCATGCCATCCTAAGCCCTGCCATACCATATATATGGGCAAATGACGAGTCGAGTTTTACTGGACTCATTTCGCCAAGTTTTCTTAATCCCACGAGTCGATTCGAGGAAAACTCGGCGAGTGTTTTTTAACACAAGGCCAACTCAAAACTCATGTCGAGTTTTACTTGAAGTAGGGCGATTTGTTTACTGAAACTCGGAGTAGTCATATTCAAATCGCCGCGCTCTGCATGCTTGGCGCTTCGCGAGCCAAACAAGATCATAAATGTGAGTTAAACCTATGATTTTGTTATTTGTATATCTCCGTCCTCTTGTTCTTGTTGTTGTTGACAAGCAACGGCATCCCATTAAAAAAAAGTGGATGGCTTGTCACAACAACACAACAAGAGGACATAGATTTACAAATTACAAAATTATAGGCTCAACTAACATCATGATCTTGTTTGGTTCGCGAAGCGTCATGCCGGCCGAGCGCGACGGTTTGAATATGACTACTCCGAGATTCAGTAAAAAAACGCCCTAGTTCAAGTGAAACTCGACTCAAGTCTCGAGATACTATACCTCCCCTCTTCCAAAGAGCTGTGTGAGTTGGAGTTTTCGTACTACAAATCCTAACGCTGTGGGTTGGGTGATTGATGTCGTGGGTGGAGGTTGGGTTTTCTGATAACAAAAGGGTGAAGTGAGGTGGGTCGGTTGTGGGAGTCAGTTTGACGACCCCCGAAGTTACGTGTCAAACATTTGCGACCTTGGAAAGTCGCGCGCAAGTCAAAATATTTGCGAAGACAGCATCTCAACGTCCACCCTCACGTTCCAACTTGCTCTGATAACCCAGAAGCATTTGCGACATCGCGAAGTCACCACGTTCCCCTCCACCATCTCCTTCTCCACCTCGACCCCCTGTACGTCCCACCCATCCACCCCTTTCAGAACGATCTTCGCCGCCACGCCAATCCCCACAACCACATCAGGCGTGGCCGCGAGCAACTCCATTTCGGCCTTCTCCCCGGTCGCAGCCTTTAAGAGAGAATAAAGACGCGCGAGGTTTCAACAACTCATCGAGGCTAAAAAAACTCAATTTAAAAAGCTCACCATTTTGCCAAGATTTTTACGAGTTTTTTTTTTACTCGCAAATAAAACTCGACTCGAGGAGCCAAGTTTGTTAGACAAAAAAATGAACTCGAAACTCGAGTTATTCAAGTCCCTCCGACGAGTCGAAGAAAAACTCGCCTCATTTGCCCATGTATATACCATACCAAGTTGTGCCATGCCATGCAGTGCCAAGCCATGCCGTGCCATGCCATGCCACGGCGCCATCGCCCACCTCCGTGCTCAGTTACGACTGTGGATGTATAAGTGTATCCACTAAAAAAAAAAAAACATCAGTGCACAATGCATCACTCACGTGGCGAGAGCATTAGCTGCGAGATTATCGGCCCGCCCACCAAAGTGCTCCGCCTCCCTGCCCGCCTCCACATCCGCCTTTAGCTCCACCCACTCCTGATGCCCGGGAAATGGGACAGACAGGGGTGGGGGGTGGAGACGATGAGGAGAGGGAGCATCAGCGGATGGGGTTAGAATGGAGGAGAGAGAGCAGATGGGGGAGGGGACAGACGGGGTTAGGGGGAAAGAGGATGAGCGGATGAGGTTAGAACCGAAGAGCATCCATTGCCACAAGCAGTAATAGGAGGTAGGCAGAAGAGAAGCAAGGCGGGCTTCAAGCGCACAATCAAACGGATAAATGCATGAAGCGAGTGGCAGGACAAGAGAGAAAGGCGAGGCTGCTGGCCTCACTGTCTGCGCCTCACCTTGCTGCACCACACCTCACCTCACTGTCCTGCGCCTCACCTCGCTCTCCTGCAGCAGGGCGAGCTTTTCCGCAGCAATTTGCTCGCAGCGCACCGTCGCCACCATCACCTGGTGGTGGGGTGGAGTGGGGTGATGGGGCGTGGCGTGGGGTGCAGTAAGGTGGGAAAGAGAGTAAGACAGGAGGATAAGCAAGCAACACCTCAGGCTCAGTGGTGATCTGCTCGCAGTGCACCATTGCCACCATCACCATCAACAATTGCGTAACACGAGTAATGTACACCTTCCCTCATGACTGCAGTCACTCACACAGGGCATTCTCTCCCACACAAGCAATCACAGAGCCCACACAAGAAATCACAGAGCCCCATAGATAGCTTATCGTCGGGCAGGTCGAGGTCATTGTTCTCTCGAATCACTCGCCACATCTCCCCCATACTCCTTTCTTCGTAACATCATTCACAATTTCACACACACGTGACAGTTCCGAATGACCTCATTTTATGCAAGCAAGCGCAGAGCCACCCACCACACCTTGAGGTGCGGGCATGTCTAGGTCGAGGTCCTTATCTTCTCACATCGCCGCCACACTCCTTCCCTCACAGCTCCAGTCACACACACAGGAGACACTCCCTCCCACACAAGCAAGAGCACACAGCCACGCACCTTGTGAGCGGGCAGGTCGAGGTCCTTGTTCTCCCTGATCACGCGCCACATCTCCGCCACGCTCAGGGGGAAGCCCGATGCCGGCACCACCCCCCGCCGGTCCCCCGCCAGCCGCCCCTCCGCCACCGAGTCCTGGAAGCGCTCGCGCAGACGTGCCACCTGCATGGGGCGACGGGTGGAGGAGGATGGCCCGATGGAGGTTTGAGTTTGGGGCATTGGCCGATTGGGGGTTCATGGGGGGCTTGAGGCCCCCATGTTCACGTGCCAGCCAGCCACTCCGAAGCACTCGCGCAGCCGTGCCACCTGCACATGGGGATAGGTGAGCCGGGGGGTGGGTTGGATTGGGTTGGGGGCACTGGGAATCTAGAAATTGATGGGGGTTTTCAGGAGATTCAAGCCCCGCCGGTTCATCATGAGTCGCCCCTCCGCCACCGAATCCTGGAACCGCTCGTGCAGCCGCGCAACGTGCATGGGACATTGGGAGCAAGGGGATGCGCGAGGCTCAGGGGTCCGCTGCTGCTGTGGTGGTAGTATAGTGCACCCCTCTCCCATGGAGTCCTGAAAGCTCTCTCTGGCAGCCATGCCGCCTCGAGGACGGGAGCGGGAGCACAGGGGGGAGGGAGATGAAAAGATGTGGAGGGGTTGGAATGAGCTGGTGTGCTGCTAGACCCGTACGACCAAGAGGTACACTCGAATGGAAGCATGGTGAAAGAGGAGAACAAACCACGTCGACCAAGGCAGCGCAGTGGGTCTACTCTGATTGGATCGGCAAAGGGGGGGAGGGGGGGGGGGGTTGGGGTTCGGACGTGGGGAGAGAGAGGGTTACGAGTTGTGAGTGGACTCAAAACTCGTGGTGATTGTTGATAGCAAGGGCTGCTGACCTGGCTCTTGAACTCCTCCTCTCTCTCCTCGAAGTTGGGGAGAGCTGTGACCTCCACCTGTTACACACATGGACACATAAATGCACACACACACACACACATGCACACACACACATGCACACACACACATGCACATGCACACACACATGCACATGCACACACATGCACACACACACATGCACATGCACACACATGCACATGCACATTCACACACACGCACATGCACACACACATGCAGACACATGCATGCGTATGCACACACACGGGCACGTAGAGAGGCCAAACTTCATTCAAAAAAGAATGAATCAGCAGAGAGGCCAGTAGAAGGGAGGGGAGAGAGGGGATGGGGGTGTGTAGGTGTGTGGTGCTTGCTACAACAAAATGGCGAAAATGGGGGAAGAGCAAGGAGAGACAGGAGGGGAAAACGCAACAACGGAAGGGGGGAAAGAGTGGCACAGGTGAGAAAGCAAGGAGGGAGGGCGAAGGAGAGGCTGGAAGGGACGAAGGGAACGAAGGAAGCAGGTGTTGGTTACATACGTTGAAGAAGTCTGCAAAGGGTGTGTCCTGATGCTTCTGTGGCTTGGGCACACTCTGCCATATCTGCAGCTCACAGGTGAACAGCACGGCACAGGCGCAGAGGCGAGCGGGCAGCACAGCACACACATGAAGCAGCGAGAAGGCAGGCGGTAGAAAGGAGGTGGAAAAACACAAACACACGACCGACACTTTATCTTTCCAAAGCCATCCCCTGGAGGAGGCCCAAACCGGAAGGAACCGAAACCCGGCACTGCTCCCCGAGCTTCCCCCACTGTGAACACAGCGCACCTTCTGAATGTCCTCCCTCAATATGGGCTCAAGTGTCTCCATGGGTGTCTGCCATGCCACGGCACACAGGCAGACGGCACACATGCAGCATGCACACACACAGGCAGGTAGAACGCGCACACACTCAGAGATGAGATGAGATGGATGGGGCACGCTGCAACGTCAGCTCCTGAATGCAGGCAGGGCAGCAGCGATGCAGAAGAGTGCGTGTGGCATGTGGCGCATGGCGTGTGCTGTGTGCCATGTGCTATGTGGCATGTGGCTGTGGCGTGTGCCATGTGCTATGTGGGATGTGGCTGTGGCGTGTGCCATGTGCCATGTGGCGTGTGGCGTGCGACCCACCTTGGTCTTGTCGCGGATGACAAAGAGCAGCGTGGCCTTGCGCGGCGTGAAGAGGCGCATCATCACCTGCCGGGCAGGGCAGGGGGACAGACAGGGGAGGGAGAGTGGAGGGAGAGTGTTGCTCAGGAAGAGGCACGATCCGCACAAAGGAGAACGCGAGAAGCAGGGAGGGTGCCCTCACAGCACGCATACAGAGAACGCACACAACACAGAGAAGACAGCACAGCATGCACGCGCACACACACACACACACACACACACACACGCGCGCGCGCGCGCGCGCACGCACGTACACACACACACACACACACACACACACACACCCACACACACACCATACACACAGCATTTCACCTGAAACACCGTCTTGAGCAACGGTTTGTTGGAGGCTTGCTCTCGACCAATGTCATGGCACCACCTGGCATGACATGACAGGACAGCACAGGGCAACGTAATGGACGAGCATGCAGCAGCATGAGACGTGGTGAGGCAACTCGCCGTCGCAGTTCACAGTGTGAAACAAGTGGTGATGGATGGGGGAATGAGAGGTGTGGCAATGGACGGACGGATGTACCACGCTGTGGGATGATTGTGAGGAACAACGGAAGCAAGGCGAGCCAACGGAACATAAGACACTGTGCAATTGTGTGACTATGCATGTCATGTCATGTGAGTGAACACATCAACACCAAGAATGTTTTGTCATGCTGCCCACGCGTCCGTACATGTTAACGATGATGACGTCAGCGACAGCGAGGGCAAAGAGCGAGCTCTGCTTCTCAAAGGTCGTGTCGTCCTGCACAGGTTGAGTGGGGGGAAAGGGGGGGAGGAGAGGGGAGGGGGAGAGGAGAGGGGAGAGGGAGAGGGAAGGGGAGAGGGAGGGGGAAGGGGAGAGGGAGGGGGGACGGCGGGGAGAAGTGGGTTCGGCAGAAAGAATAAGGTGTCGTCCTGTGTGCAGGTGCAGATTGGAAAGAGGGAGGTAGCGGGGGAAGGAGGTGGACGGGAAAGAACAGAGGGAAGGGGGGTAGACAGAGGACATGAATCGCCGTCCTGCCTGCAGGCACAAGGGAGAGGGGGGGATGGGGGAGGTGAAGAGGGGAGGAACGTGGAAATAAGATGGGAGTGGATGGGGTGGGGTGGGCAGAGGGAGGTAGGCGAGGCGAGGCAGGAAATGGAGTTGACGAGGGATGGAGCGGAGGGAAGGGGGCCATAAGTTGGCCAGTCAGGCCTTCTAAGTCCTCTATTCGCTGCCCATCACACACCCTTTGCGGCTGTCAGCAGCTCCTTTGATGTCAAGCATGGGGTGAATGCTTTGTAAGTAGGCTCACAAGCCCCCTTGCTTTAACCGCAGACCTCACCTTCTCCCTCACCCTGCCCCCTCAACCTCGCCACTCCCCACCCCTTCCCTTCACCTTGCCCCTCGCCTTTCCTCCCCCTCCCCCCAACCTCGCCCCTGCTCGTTCCTCCCCCTTCCCCCACCTCGCCCCTCCTCTTTCCTTCCCCTGTCAACCTCACCTCGCCCCTGCTCGTTCCTCCCCCTTGCACCTCACCTCGCCGCGCTCGCGGCTGTCAGTGCCCTCGATGTCCAGCACGAGCGTGAACGGCCGAATGCCCCGCGCCTCCGCCACCCAGATGCCCTGCGTCGTCTGCTGCCTGCCATGCACCAGGGAACGTGGGGAGGGGGAGGGAGTGGGGAAGGAGAAGCGAAGGAGCGAGAAAGGAGGCGAATGAGGGAAAACTGAGGGGGGACAAGGAGGATGATGAGCTTGTGGGAAGGTTGTAGGAAAACGAAACGGTCGAAATTGGAGGCAGAGAAACAAGGAGGAAAACAGCAGGCCACATGCCCGGTGATGAAATGCGTGCTGGTAGAATTCAATGTGATTGAGGTGAGGAACAGGAGCAACAGGAGCAACAGGAGCGGAGCGACATCCAAGCGCCCCCCCCAAAGCAGCCCCCCCCCAAAGCCCCCCCCCAAAGCAGCCCCCCCAAAGCAGCCCCCCCCAAAGCAGCCCCCCCAAAGCAGCCCCCCCCAAAGCAGCCCCCCCCCCCCCCCCAAAGCAGCCCCCCCCAAAGCAGCCCCCCCCAAAGCAGCCCCCCCCAAAGCAGCCCCCCCCAAAGCAGCCCCCCCCAAAGCAGCCCCCCCCAAAGCAGCCCCCACCGAAGCAGCCCCCAACCTGCCCTTGAGCGCACCCCCAACCTGCCCTTGAGCGCACCCCCTACCTGCCCTTGAGCGCACGGCCTACCTGCCCTTGAGCGCACCCCCTACCTGCCCTTGAGCGCACGGCCTACCTGCCCTTGAGCGAACCCCCTACCTGCCCTTGAGTGCGTCCATCTCATCGAAGGTGGTGTGGAAGAGGTGATTCAGCAGCGTGCTCTTGCCTGCACACACACATGGGGTGACACGCGGGTGACATGCCGGTGACACGAGAGTGTCACGAGGGTGACACGAGGGTGACACGAGGGTGAAACGGGGTTGACATGGTTGTACAAAAAAGGTAACTCAACACAACGGCACGACTGGTGGTAGACAAGTATTTGGCCGAAGTCCAGAGTGCCCAATGGTGTGCGTGTGATGTGTGTGTGAGCCACAGGCCGTGTGGGAGGCACCATAGGGGGGATGAGGGTTCAACGATAACCAACAGCAAGAGGGCAGTGCCCATCCCCGCTTCACAATACCACGTGAGCGCACTGCATGGCTTCAATTCTTTCTCTTTCTTTTCATTTGAGAATTCGCGTCGAATTCTCAACAGCAGGTGTAGCCAGCATGCAGCTGCGCCGTGCCATCCGCAAGACCAGAGGAACCGCGGTGAGATGCGGTTTCAAGGAGTAACGATGGGCGCTGAGGCACCAACAGAAGCCCATGGCATGGCTGCGAGATTCGTCGGCCCCACGGGGTCAAGGAGCTAGCAAAAGCTTTACGCGTGAAGCAAGAAGCAGGGGCGAGCGGCAGGGGAGGCTTGGGACAAGCAAGGCGCGTATCGCTGCTGAAGCAAGGCGCGTACCGCTGCCGCGAAAGAGTTAGATACGAGCAAGGCGCGTACCGCTGCCGCGAAAGAGTTAGATACGAGCAAGGCGCGTACCGCTGCTCTGCGGTCCGACGATGGCGATGACGGCGTACGACAGCCCGCACTCCGTCATGCGCGTCGCACGCGCGAATCGCTCGAGCCCCTCGCGATCAAATTCGCCCGTCCCCGACACGAGCTGCATCCGCATCCCCGCCTCGCCGTCGCCGTCGCCGGCGCTCCCCATCGCGAGATTCACTCCCTCAAAAAGCCGTCGTTTCTGGAAAGAGACGCCTAACTTTAGGAGCCTCAAGAACAGAGCCCTTGCTAAATCGTGAGGCGACTCAAATTCGGTATGAAAGCAAGAAACCGACTGAGGAGGAACACGGAGGATCTGAGGAAGACGCTCCACGGATCAGATCAGCTTGCGGGAGCGCTCCTCTCTCGCTAAATCTGATGCTCGCGAAAGTGCTTCTACGATTGTTTCCAACACTGGAGAAATAGGGGTTGTGAAAGGAAGCGTGGCGTGGCGTGAAGACCAGAGCGTGGGGCTAGGGGGGAGCGGAGGGGGGCGTGCGCGTGACTGACCGACAGCAATCGGAGTCAAGACAAGACGAAAGGAGCCCTTCATTCCTCGATTTCATCGTAACTCGTCCGCGATAATAGGTGAAGACGGGTGTCGAGATACAGATACGGAAAATGTCACAGAACGAGTTGAAAAGTGCTATAATTGTTTATGAATCACACAGCACAGTTTTCCAAATTGACGTTAGAATCAAAATCCATACTTCTGCCGTTTCGTGCAAACTCGTGATGAGCGTGTGGGTGATGGCGGAGTGCCTTCTATGACATCTGCTCCCCGCCATTCCCGCTCGGCCGCCCTTTCACCACCCAGACTCGTGTCATCTCAGTCACCCACGATCTCTCTACGTCGTTCAGAGCGCGCGTCTCATCGCTCTTTTCCGCCCTCCCGTCCGCGCCTGCAGAATTCTCCTGCGATCGTTCTCGCAGTCTCGGCGACGTTCCTCCTACTGTCTCTCCTAGTCGCTTTCCGCCGCCGGAATAACTGGTCCGAACTCGTACGCGCGCGGAACCTCCGCGCGGTAGCGGGGGACATGCCGCCCGCAGCAGAAGAAGGCGCGCAGGGCGGGAACTTATCCGGCGCGCATTTTGCGCGGGAGGCCGCCGCAGAGGCGGACAGCAGGGCGGCGGCGAGCGGCAATGGCGGAGCGAAGGAGGGGTTGCGCGTGGTGCTGGTGTCTCTGGAGTACCGCGCAGGCACGTTCAGCGGCAACGGCGTCTACTCGCAGTCGCTCGTGCGCTCGCTCGTCGCTCACGGCCACTCCGTGATGGTCGTCAGGTGCGCGATTGTCGTCAGGTGCGCGATTGTTGTCAGGTGCGCGATGGTCGTCAGGTGCGGCCACTCCGTGATGGTCGTCAGGTGCGGCCACTCCGTGATGGTCGTCAGGTGCGGCCACTCCGTGATGGTCGTCAGGTGCGGGGGGGAGGGGGTAGGAGGCGGGAAGAGGGGGGTTGGGGAGGGGAGGAGAGGAGGTTCGAGAGTGGGTGAAATGAGGAGGAGAGGGGTGAAATGGGCAGATGACGATGAGGTGGGGGTAGGGCGTCGAGGGGAGGGATTTCTACTTGAACAATGCGTGCTTGGCCCCATTTCCACCACTCGTGCTGTGCTGTCCTGCTTGCTTGTCCCGCTACCACTCACTGCCCTTCCTTGCCTTTAACAAAACCTTTTCCCGCTCACCTTCTGCCCCACCAATGCTCCCCTCTCCGCACCTCGAACCCTCCATCCCCCGTCCCCTGCAGTGCAGCTCCCCCCGCTCGCACCAACCCACTCCCTCCTCCCAATACCTCCGCCTCTCCTCCTGAGCCCTCCAACGCGCCTATTGTTGTGAGGATGCGGCAACCTCGCTCTGCGCCCTCTCCCCCGCGCGGAGGCAGCGCCATGGCGGAGGAGGCGCAGCAGGGGGTGGTGGAGGAGGAGGAGCCGTTGCAGGTGGAGGTGTGCGTGATAGAGGTGCCGGTGAGCGCGTGGGGGCGCCTGGACTGGCGCTGCTGCTGGCAGCAGTGGGCGCACCGGCTGGCGGGCGAGGGGGGGCGGGGGGAGCGGAGGTGGCGCGCAGAGTGGCTGGGTTCGCCCCGCAGTGGGCGCTCGTGGTGGACTGGTCCGCCGTGCCCGCCTTCCAGGCCATTGCTGCTGCGCCCGTGTGGGCTGAGACAGTTTCTGCGCACGACAGTGCAGGAGGTAGTGTGGCGGTCGGCAGCGGCGAGAGTGGGCGGTCAGGACAGCACGCAGCAGAGCAGCGTGGGCGGGCAGCCCCCAGGCCGCCGCGCATGGCGTACCTCAACTTGCGCTTGTACTCGCTCTCGCGATACCAGCCCACTGCTGCCAGTGCCACTGGCCCTGCTGCACCTGGCAGTGCTGGGGAGGAGGGTGAGCGGGGGGTGGAGGAGACGGAGGCGGAGGCGGGCAGGGAGCGGGCGTTTTACCGGGAGAGGGAGAGCGAGGCCGTTGCCATGGCGGATGTGGTCACTGCTCTCAGCTCACGGTGAGATGGATTGTCACATGGACGGCTGTGAGGTGAGCAGTTGTGACATGGACGGCTGTGATCGCACAGGGAGATGGGTTGCAGTGCAAGATGGGTGGCTGTAATAACCTAGACACGTTTAGTGGTAGGGCAGTGTCGGAAGCCCATTCTGGCCCTTCCTCCCCCTTCCCTCTCTCCACCCCACCCTGTGTCCCAGGGATGCCAGTACCTGGCAGAGAGCCTGTGGGCACGGAGCGCAAGGCATGAGCTGAAGCACGTTCAAGCCGTGCTCCCCTTTCCACATCCGTCTCCAACTCATTGTTTCCCAGGGATGCGCGCTACCTGGCAGAGAGTCTGGGCGCGGGGCGCAAGGCAGGGGTGGAGCCACACGCACTGCTGCCGCCCCTCCGAGAAGACATTCGCGTCCTGGCGGTGGGGCGAGAGAGTGAGTCAATCAGCAAGTGTGTGCGAGAGTGAGTTAAAGCTCTGTTGCACGTTGTCAGTATGATTTGGTGATTAAAGGGCTGCACCCCTCTGCCCATTGGCATGATGCCAGCCCTTCCCTTGTCTCTCATCCCCCTTCCCATGTCTCTCATCCCCCTTCCCTTGTCTCTCATCCCCCTTCCCAAGTCTCTCGTCCCCCTTCGCACCTCCTGCATTGACGCCTCAACGTGTATCCACCTCTCATGCTGCGTCCACTGCTGCACCTGTGCTCTTCTGCCAACCCTCTGCTGCTCCCCGAGCTGCCGACCTTCTCTCGCTCCATCTGCTCCCTCAACGCCCTCCGTACATCTCACCCCCCCCTTGCACCGCCACAGTGAGCGCGGCCTCATGGCCATCGGATCGCCTCTACCTGGTGTGCTGTGTGCGCCTGTCCCCCGAGAAGAACGCCGCGCTGCTTCCCCCTCTGCTGCGCCTGCTGGCGCCCCACCTGCCAGCGCTGGGCGTCACGCCGCTGCTGTGCGCCGGCACTGCCGCCACACGCGGTGCCTTCGGGCAGGCCGTGCTGCAAGAGGTGGTGGCGGCTGCACCGGGCACTGTGGTGGTGGATGGCTTCATGGGGCCTGAACGGATGGCCCAGGTGTACTCGCAGGTAACTATTGATTTCACTCGACGGTCACCTTTGGGGAGGCCGTGCTGCGCGAGGTGCTGGCGGCTGCACTAGGTGGTGCTGCCGTGGTGGTGGATGGGTTTATGGGGGCTGACAGGATGGCGCAGGTGTACACGCAGGTGAGAGTTCTGTGTGCCCTTATTGCCGCCTGCTTCCATGCGTCAATCACCGCAAACGTACGTGCACTAGGTGCCGTGGTGGTGGATGGGTTCATGGGGGCTGACAGGATGGCGCGGCTGTACTCGCAGGTACCACCCTTGGCCGACCTTGTCATTGCCGAAATATCCATGCTTGTGTTGCCATGCTTCCATTTCCTTGAACGTACCTACAAGCATGGCAATGGTGTCTCGCCTTTCTCACGCTCACACCAGTTCCACTGTCCACCCTTCTTGCTTCCCCCCCTTTCCATGGCCTCTCGTCAGTATTCGATTGTGCCACTCGCATGCCATGCCTCGGCAATGCTGTGAAGCTCTCTGTCCCAACCCTTTCTATCCCTTCCCATCCATCTCTTCACAACCACCTCAGCGTACGGTGTTTGTATTCTCGCTATCTGCTCTCCAAACCTCACACTCCCCTCTACTTCTTGCCAAACCCCTTCCCTACACACCCACACTCCCCGTTTCCCCCTCCCCCTCTCCACCTCTGGCCATGCGCCCCCCAGACGCTGCTCAACATCCATCCCTGTCTGTACAACGCATACGGCATGACCGCCATATTCGCATGTCCCCTCTCCCCATCTCCTTTCTCCCTTCCCTCCACTACTCCCCCTCACCCCCAGACGCTGCTGAACATCCACCCCTGCTTGTACATACGGCATGACGGTCATATCCGCATGTCCCCTCTCCCCATCTTCCCCCCATCAGACGCTGCTGAACATCCACCCCTGCCTGTACGACGCATATGGCATGACGGTCGTCGAGGCAGCAGCCTTGGCCGCACCTTCCGTCATCCACGTCGGCCCGGGCGGTGCAGTGGGAGCAGCCGAGCTCCTGCCGCCCCAAGAGCAGCTCGCACTGCCAGTCGACCTCTCTGCCGCGCTGCCAGCTGTCGCTGAGAGCATCCTGGCGCTGCTGCGGGACAGGCAGCATCTGGCGCAGGTGGGGCTGGCGGCGAGGCGGCGTAGCTTGGAGTGGAGTGAGGAGGCCAGTGCACGTAGCCTCACTGCCATGCTGCAGAGGGCGTCGGTCTAATGGCTAGTGTGGACACCATCATAGGTAGGTAGGCGGCTGTTGGCTGAGCTGTGCGCGCCAGCCAGCGCATTTGGTTCATTACAATGCAGACTGGACTTGTCTAATTCGTCATATTCGAATGGTCAAGGGACATTGGATAGTCACGAGCAGCAGCCGTCGCTACCCATATCATGAGCCACATATGAGAACCATAGAAGCACCACAACAAGCTCAGTCACCACAGTAGTAGTCGTGCGGAGTACATTCCTCCCTCGTGCGAACCACCACATACAGGGGTTTACCCACTGGATACGGTTTAGGAACGCACCCTCAAGTACAACAATGTAACAACTTCACGTATTTATTCCTAGTCAGTTCTAACCTAACCTGTTCCACATCTTGTTAGGGTACATTCCTGCGGGGACATACGGTATGTGTCCTAACCCCCCTTTTCCCGAGTCGCGTCGATAATTTTTGTCAGTTTCGCGTCACAAACAAAGGATGAATCGCGAAACTAGGCGACCAGGCGAAATGCACAGTTGGGCGCGTTTGATTGAGCGACAAAATTGAATGTACACTCGTGTCTTCCACCGCTTGGCGGAGGTATGGTTCCCGCGCGAAATTGGCATTGCAGGCAGACCAGGTGCGTCGACATTTCGAACCGCGTGCGAAAAAGAAACAATGACGAGTCGGTTTCCAATACGTCAGCGACGTCAGCGCGCTTCACGCTGACCAATACCGTAAAAAATACAGTAACAATCGCACGAGGGCAATTCGCGTTTGAGACATTATACATTACATGTTTTTACGTGTCATTGTTTGTTTTATGTTTGAGACAGAAGTGTCCTCGCAGGTATGTACCCTTAGTGTAAGGCCCTAATAAACTCAAGCTGTTATGACCTCTCTCTTGGGGTCACCTCCAAGTGTCTTTGGATGTTCGGTACAAGACCAGCCCCTATCCTTGGGTCCGATTGTATAGAAACAGGAGTCAAGAATGCGACTTAGCAAATTAGCAAGAGTATCATGAACGTCGCGTAGCGTACCGTACAGACTGTCGATCAGAGAATTTGCTGAATCGAAGCTCGCTCCAAAAGCTTTAAAATAAGCCAAGTTGCCTCGTGAAAAGTTCTGCCATTACGGAGTTATGGCTCAGACAGCGTTGGCCTAGCTGTCAGAAACTAACGAGCAGAAATGATGCATTGAAGAGAAATGTGGGTACATGTACTAACCATAATCTGGGTTCTACCATTTATGGGCTACCCTACTATAGCCTACACAGCACAATCATCATTATAGGTAGTTTGACACACCCCCATAGGCAAAGTGGGGGAGAACCAGTGGTCACAAGACCAGTCAAGAAAAGCAAAGCAAGCTCAGGGTGGATCACGAAGTCACCACACATTCTGAGCACAAGCAAATGGCCACAAGGCCAGTTCACATGCAGAGTTATATAAAAGAGAGCAAACAGTACAGTGATCACTACCTAGCAAGAGTAAGCATGCAGGTACAGTATCGCCCCGGATAGTAGCGTCCTGATAACAGGCGCTGGCGCTTCTATCTGGAGCCATGCGCTTATGGCCGGTCCTCAATAATTAGCGCACCCCCTAGAATGCCCGTACTTTTTATAAGCGCATCCCTTCCCCCCAGGGGGCAATCTTTCCACTATTGTTTTAATCTAAACACTTTTACCTACAGTTACATGATTTCTACACATGCCTCTACCAATAATCTCATTACACATTAAGATTTACATTCTTAACTAAGAATCTACTCGTCCTTAGACTTTGGCTCCTCGCAGTTGTTGCCGAAGAAGCCGTTGGCGATGATCTCGTCATCGACGTCGACCTCGTGGTTCAGCTGGCTCCGCCTATGCGCCATGGCAAGGTTGTCCTCACTGCCGTCAAGCGCGTTGCTGATGCCACAGGTGAGGAACGCCTTCTTGATAAGCTCAGGTGGCACGACCTTCCAGGCCCGTGAGATCCACCTGAGCACCACCGCAGGGGGCGGCTTCTTGATGTTCCTTGCACCACAAGTCAGAGTGGGGGAGATGGTGTTAGAACAAGATACGGGGGGAAAAGAAGCAGCAATCAAACCATCAACGGGGGGGGGGTTCTTACCTGCAGGCGTCAGCCGCTCCTGGCCCTCCTCTTCAAACCAGGTCTGGTACTGCTGGCGGATTGATGCTTTGAAGGACTTGTTGATCGCAATGTCGAGAGGCTGTACCTCCGCCGTACAGCCCGACGGGATCTCCGCCGGAACGATGTCGAGGTCGACGAACTTCTGCTTCACTTCGTCCGTGAGATGACCGCGGTACGAGTCCAGAACGACCATAGCACTCCTCGCCTACCTGCCGAACCGAGGCCGGATGAAGGGCTTAACGCACTCCTCGAGCCAGCACATGACGCCGTCGGCGTCCATCCAGCCGTTCGGGTACACCGCCACGACCACATCTGCGATATCACAGACAGTACAGAAACATGCGTTAGTATCGCGATAGTAAAACCAAACATGTAAGACCACAGTATAACCTTACCTGGCAGGAAGTCACCCTTCGGCACCGTCTTGCGCTTGAATAAGACCCACGGCTTGAGCTTCTTGCCGTCGGCCGTGCACGCCAGCATCACGGTCATGCGTTCCTTATGGTACCCCCCGCTCCTGATGGGCACTGAGCGAACGCCAGTCTCGTCCACAGTAGTCGTGGCGGGCACCTCTAGCCACAGTGGCGTCTGGTCGGCATTGATAAACCAGCGGGTTTCGATGCCGCACTCACGCCGCTTGTCATGAATGAACTGCCAGAAAGCCTGACACAGCTCCGCGACATCTGCGCACACTCGGACAGTGTTAAGAGGAGCGGTTAGTCAACACCGTTGTTTGAAAATCACAACAAGCATACGGTACAACGAAGTTTGGTACTTACGCTCGACGATTTTCTAGGCAATCCTCGTCTTCATGCGCACGCTCAGATTCCACCGTTTCCGAAACCGCTTCGACCACCGCTGGCTGCCCTTCCACTTCACGTTGGGGAACAGAACCTTCCTAAACTCCCTTGACCACTCCTGCAGGCGACCGACGGAGATGGCAGTTCCTTTGCGGCGCCATTCAAGAAGCTTCGCGTAGACTTTCAGCTCCATCGGCCTGTACCACGATGCCCTCCCGCGCCCGTGCATCCGCTTTCATACTGAGTGCGCTTCCTTGAGTATGGCGGCGGCTTTCTTCCACTCCGCGAGACATTTGGACTCGCGAGACAATTATCGCAGCGACACTGCCACATCTATGCGCCCAATCCACTGCAGCTTCTCCAGCGCGGTATAAGCGTTGTGCTTATGCTGCGAGGGCTTGTGCCTGGGAGAGGGGGGGCGGGCATCACGGTTCTCAAAAGAGGGGTGGGGGAGCTTGCGGTTAACAGGAGGAAACGTAGGAATAGGAAGCTTCTCGGGAAGTCCGTCGCGCGACCAATATTCCACACCGTCGTCGTCCTCGCCGCCCGGGGCACCCTCGGGAAACATATCTGCCGCGGTGCCGGCATCGGCGCCAGTGTCGGTGCCAGTGTCGGTGCCGGCCTCGGTGCCAGCCTCGATGTCGGGCACATCGTCATCAGCGCCCACAGCAGATTCGTCCCACCCACAATCTTGCGGATGGCCCCATCGTGGTGCCGGGGGCGGAGCTCGAACGTAGACGTCGGCGGGCTTATTGGTGTCAGGTTCAGACAGGTACTCGACAGGTGCAGGAGCGTCAGCACGGGAGGATTCGATGGGCTTGCAAACACGGGTGGACTCGGAGGAGCAGGTGGAGCTGGAGGTGCAGCAGGACATGGAGGAGATGGCGGTGCAGGCGGCGCCGGAAGCTGTAGTGGCTCCGGGGGCGATGGTGGGATACGAGTATACCAGCCGTCAGCGTCCACACGGTACGCGGGCCTAGGCTTCTTCTTGAAAAGAAAATGGGTGCCAGTAAATTCCGCCATGCCTTTCGCAGCCTGGCGGGCGAAACATGCTAAACTGAATCAAGAAGTGCAAGAAATGAGAAGAAATGGACTTCAGACGGGACCCCTGCGGGGAAGCGGCTCGCCGTCCTCTTCAATGACAGACAGGTACCCCCATTTCCCGCAGTGGAGGGAAATGGGCGGCAACATGCTGCTGTGGCAGGGCATATTTGATCCCCTTCTAGAGGGATCGGATGAGCTGTCCCTGCCTAGCAACGCATGACAACGTGATCGGGCCGCACGGCAGCTTCCGAGTCAGCGTTGGCAGATGCGTTATTCCGGGAGGGCATTTGTGCGGTGGAAAATCGAGTCGCTGCTGTTTTCGACATAGACGTTTGACGGGCGTATTCGCCTTAATGAGAGCTTCGATGTCGTACCCTTACAAAATAAATTCATTCTTTTCCATTTCACAACAACATGCGCTTATGCCCTTTCTTCGATTACAAGCGCACCCCCTAAAAAAAATGATTTTATTATTAACGCATATGCGCTACTATCCGGGGGGATACGGTATATGTATAGATCACAGTACAAGCAAAGTCAAGCAGTGAGCAAGTGAGACAAAGCGAGCACAAGGCCTAGGTGATCTGCAAGCCAAGATAGCTGCGCAGCTCACCCAGGCCTGTGCACGTGTGTCTCTTCTGCAGCTCTGACTTCACAAGGGCGAGTGCCTCAGTGTCAGCAGTTGCAAAAATCAAGTCGTCGACGTACACGAGGATGCAGAATGGCGGCATCGAAGTGTCGGTGCGCAGAAACAGCGACGGGTCAACAGTCGAAGGAGCAAACCCAAGAGCCGCAAGTGTCGTCCTTAGTGTGTCGTGCCACTCACGAGGCGCCTGGCGGAGACCGTAGACTGGCCGCCGGAGGCTCCACTGGGTATCTGCTAGAAACGACCCAGTGAAGCCAGGTGGGTGGCGCAGCCAGATCTCCTCGTGCAGGTAAGAAAGCTGTGCTGAAGTGAAGAGAGTGAAGCTCGTAGTCACGCTGTGCTGCAACGTGCAGCAGCACCCGAAGAGTGTTCATCTTCGGGGTAGGGGAGGAG